GATGGGACGGAGAGCAGGGACAGCTGAGTGTGGCAGGGCAGACAGGCAGAGGCAGATCCTGGACAGAGAACCCCACCCCAGTGTGGACAAGGGCACGTTTCCCGCCTGGACAACTGGTCTTCCACACAGATATGATGGGTGTCCTTGGACAAAGGTGGACAAACAACAGTAGCGCTGGGAGCTGAAGCCCATGCTAGGGGCTTGACAAATGTCCTTTCTAATCCCCACAGCACCCCGTGTTACATACGTGGAAACTGAGGCTCAGGTAGGTGATGCTTAGTTAGGGGTCAGAATCCACAGCTCTTTGACTGCTCTCGTTATTAGAATGGAGATCAAAGGAGTAAACGATTATGACCCTATTAAAATAAGCTGGAGATTCCTCACACGTAGTTGCTGGGTGCCCCTGCAGAAGCCACTTGGCTCTCTGTACCTCAGTTTAACTCATCTAGGTAATGAGCGTCCCATCTCAGACCTGCCTAAGTTAGAGCCTCAAGTCAGGTGCTGGGTGAGAAAGAACCTTGAGTGATCTCAAGAGAAGAGGGCTTGGTGACAGCGGTTCACACCATTATTACCTTACTCTCCCCTCCCCCTCTCCTTTCCCTGAACAGTCACAGAGCCTCTGCTTTGAACCAGGCTCAGACCTGGGCTGAGGGCTGTAGCCGAGAACACCTGGTCTCAGGAGTTGCCCGAATTCGAACCCTGGTTCTGTGATTTCTGGCTGGTTCCTTCCGTCTCTGGGCCTCGGTTTCCTCATCCTGCCATGGTCCACCTCCGGTGGCAGTGCATGTGCTTTGAATGCTACTCCCCCTCCTTTCCTGGTGGTGGGGTTGGGGACGGGATTCAGGATCCCATAGGCGGGGCCCCTGCCTTCAGAGCTTGAGGTCCCAGTGCAAGCAGATGAGGAACGCCCCAGTCACTGTGGTGCTGCCATCCTGTCTGACCACGCCACTGGTACTCCAGCTGTGGGGCAGGCATGGAGAGGATGCTGGGGAAGCCAGTGGGGGCGGGAGAGAGGGGCCTGTCTGGACTTCATCCTAGAGCAACAGGGACCTGAGACCAAGGCCACTGGGGAACGTGCTTAAGGGCAAGTCTGAAACCCACCATGGGCCAGGATGTGGAGCGAGACTTTATCGGTCCAGCAGTGGGGAGCCATGGCTAGTTCTTGAGCGGGGGTGGGGGACCCAGGATGCTCCTCTCTGGTGTGGGGGAAGCCTGGGAAATGCGAAAGCCTGAGGAAGGCTTTATGTTTACACCTTTTCTGGGCCCCTCCCAGAGCAGGAGAGGAGAGTCTGAGCACCATGGAGACCACCCCAGCGCAGCTGGGTCTGTGGGGCTAGCGAACTGGGAGGCCTTCCAGGGAGCCCTTAATCCACTGGGAGGCACCCACCTGGGGCCTGGGAGGCAGCTGGCATCTTGCAACCCTGCAATTAGTAGGCAGAGGAGCTGGGTGGTGGTAGTGGTGGGAGCAGCGGGCTGAGAGCTACAGCTGGTTCCTGGGTGCTGCCTCTGTCTCCAGCCCACCACCCACTGCCCCAGAGGGGTGCCCAGGGTGGCTGGTGGGCCCCCAGGCAGTCAGGGAGCTAGGGTCTTGGGAGACGATGCAGACCCTAAGCAAAGCCAGAAAAGTACTACTAACAGTGAAGTTATACTATGTCTGGAGAATCCAGTTGTTACTGTCCCCATTTTGTAGATAAGGAAATGAAAGCCCAGAGAGGGATAGGAGATTGCCAGAAGACACACAGCCAATCAAAAAGCAGCTGGATCTAGAAGCCAAGCTTGCATGAAGTGCTGGGGCATGGGGACTCACTCCTGGGCATAAATTTCCAGGCAGGAATCCCTAGGGGCTGGCTGGTAGGGGCAAAACAAACTTGGCTGGAGAGCAAGGGGAGGCCAAGCCTTCCAAGGACAGACTCCAGGGGCCCCAGCCTCATGCTGCAGGGGGAGGAAGGGCCGGGTGGGGCAGTGTCTGGCCCAGCAGGTTCTGCAGCTTGTCCGGGCACTCCAGGCCTGTGAGAAGAGGCCCTGGCACTGCTGCCCCTGGACTGCTGTGGCTCTCAGTGCCTGGGAGACTTCTCAGCTGACCAGCAGAAAGATACCTAGGCCTGGTCCTGCAGGTACTGCAGTGAAGCTGGAGTCAGGGGTGGGCGGTGCTTCTGGCTTCAGCCTTCCACCGCCTCATCCGTCCAGCCATCCAGCCATCCTTCTTCCCCTCCCTTAAAGATGTTCTCTAGGCCTAGGGTACTGTGCTGGCTGCTGGAAGGATTCTCTGCCCTCCAGGAGCATCTGGTGGGGTGGGAGAAGCGGACAGGTACACAACCCACTAACACGCTAAGGATGAACCAAGTGGGCTGAGCTTTGAGGGGCTGGTGGGACTCTGACAGGGAAGGGGCAATTCTGGGTGGTAGGAAGGGAGTTCAACATGGCTGGAGCTGCAGGGTCTGCTGAGTGGGGTGGGGCTGCCGAGGGCAGGGGCTGCACCATCCAGGGCCTTGCCTTGGAGGGCTGGGGGAAGGGGGGCGTAACCAGGAGTGTGGGCTCTGGCCTCAGGTTGCCTGACCTGGAATGCCAGGGTCACCACCAACCAGCTGTGTGGCCTTGGGGTAGTCACCTGCTTCCTCCGAGCCTCTGCATCCTTGGTGTCAAGAGAGGTGACCACGGGAGTGCCTGCCTCACAAGACTGTAAAGCACATGGCGTGGCTCAATACATGTTACCTGTTCTCGGCAGTCACCCCTGTGGTGACAAGAAGCCTGCAGGAGTTCTGATCCCGAGAATGACACGTATACTTGGCCTGGCTATACTTCACACTGACTTTGGCCAGTGCCGCCCCTGTCAGCCATTCAATTTCCTCACCTGTTCAAAGAAAGACTGGACTAGGCCAGAGGAAGGGCACTCACATGCCTCGGGGGCCAGGCGGTAATAGAGACGAGGAGGGTGCAGGTAAGGCTGCAGGGAGCGGTGGGGACTGTGGCTCACCGGGTGGCTGTGCCCCCTTCCGGAGAGCACCTGCCTCTCAGCCCTGCAGCTGCAGCCACGCAGGAGTGTGAGCCCAGCGTGGTCTGAGGTGCTGATTTCTCAAGAGGGGGACACCCACATTTTTTATGAGAAAACCTCCCATTATTAACATTAGCAATGCATTAAATACAGCTTTTAAAGCATCCCGGGAGCCAAAGCTGATGCTCCTGTTGGCAGATGTAGCTCTCACGACCACCGGGAAGGAAGGGCTGTGAGCAGGGAGGCAGCGAGAATTCCAGGCCCAGGGAATCTTCCAGCCCTTTGCCTGCGGCTGTGCTTCCCTCCCAAGGCTTCTGGTCTCCCTTGTACACTGGAGGCGGAAGGCCAGACCCTCTCCTCTCTGATGTTCTCAGGAGCGGCCCCGCCCACAGACAGGGGCTATAATGGGGCCCCTGCCCCACACTATCTCGCTGGAGGTGCCAGGGAGTCTGGGAGAGCCTGCTGTGCCGGACGCTCTGCTCTGTGTCTGGGAATGGCAGGTCCGCCTGGGGGCCCAGGGGCGGCTCTCAGGGCTGCTGTCAGTGAGTGCCTGGATCCTGGCTCCTGGGGGTCAAAGGGCAGCACTTTCAGCCTCTTCTAGGGCCTGCTTCCTGTTCGGGAGAGAAAACAGAAAGAACCCCCCCCCCCCGCCCCCCGGCAGGAAATGGTCCTCTTCCCCCAGCGCCTTTTCCCTTTTCTGCTGGCCCTGGCTTGTGAGGAAAGGCCCACGGGGGTGGGTGGCGGTGTGGATCCTGGTGGCTGGGTCTTGCCCACTCCCTCCTCTCCCGCTCAGGGCACAGGAAGGGACATGGGTCTCTTTGCCATGACAGCAAACCCCACCTCTCCAGCATGGTTAGCTTAGGTTTGGCAACAGGGGACATGACATGTTCGGTGCCCATATTTATTACCCCCTGCTGGGCTCATGGGCCTGTCTCTCCCCTCCTCTCAGCCCCCAGGGCTTGTGGCATCCACTGGGTCCCAGCACCATGGCCCCAGGGGTCCCTCAGACTGGGCCACAACAAGAGAGAAGTCCTTTAGTGCAGCTGCCCACTCCGGGGCAGGGAGCCCTTCTATCAATTGAATTTTTTTTTTCTATCAATTGAATTTAACTCCTCTTTGGTGCCAGGCCCCTGATCCAAGCCCATCCTCTCCGTACTCACCTCTGAACACAGGAAACTGGCCACGGCCCGCATGCTAGAACAGTTCTGAGAGGGCCTCCTCCTGCAGAAAGCAGGCCCTGGTGCCAAGAATTCATGTAAAACTCCCATCAAGGGCAGGTGTCTCAAATGCCACCTCAACTTGTGAAGATTCAAAAATATATGCTACTGTGTTTTTAATAACATTTTCCACTAGATTTAACATAAATTGGCTGGTTATAGAAGGTTTAGAAATTAAGTATCAAAAATAAGATTACCTATAATTTCACTACCTAGAGCAGGACTAGGGGAATGATAAAAGGATTATTTGTTGTGTTCATACCTACCTCTGGGTAAACACCCACCAGTCAGTTGTCTGAACTTCATCCCTTACGGCAGAACCCAGCTGGCAAAGCCCCCCTCTCCAGGGCATACCTTCAAGTATTTCAATTATAACTAACCTTTACTGAGCTCCAGATGAACTCACCGAATTCTCCTGATGGCTCTATCAGACATCTAATTTATAGATGGAGAAACCGAGGCTCAGAGAGGGCAATTAACTTCCCCAAGGTTGCACAGCCAGTAAGAGGCAGAGCAGAGATTTGAATTCATCCGGTGCCAGAACTGAAGTCTCCTCCAGATTTGACATGTGCCATCCCTTTTCCTTCCCCTCAAAGTAGCTGGATTCCAGACCATTCAGCAGTTCCAGTGTTCATTCATTCATTCTTTCTCACGTTCATTCATTTATTAAGTCACTCAAGTGACTTAATATCAATATTCCTGAGCTCAGGTTCGGTGCCAGGGGTAGGCTGATCCTGTCTGTCCCCCACACTGCGTGCCCACATCTGCCACACTCTCAGGACTCCAGCCCGAGAACCTGAACTCCATTTATTACAAAAGACTGGGTTTATCACATTGTACTATGAACAGCCACAGCCCCCGCCCAACCCCTAGGGCCCAGAGAGGCAGCCTGGGTGGAGGCCCCAACAGCCCTCCTTTGACACCCGCTCCCCCTGCAAGAAGGTCGTGGGGGGGCGGCACCTAGAGTGGGCCTCAGAGTGGTCCTGTGTCTATAAAACCAAATGGGCCCAAGGACCCCAGGCATATATATATATATATATATATATATACACACACACACACACATATATATATAATATATATATATATATAAAACATAGGCCATGGCTTCCCTTTCACAGAGTGTAGGTAAGGTGGGACCACTGATGCCCACTGTGGGAGAGAAGGAAGTCATCTGTGGCAGGGACCGTGGTCTGCTCCCAGAGCAAGCACAGGTAGCTGCATCAGTTCAAGTGGCGGGTCAGCCTGGGCACCCGGGGGCCCGGGCTGCTGGCCAGTCCTGCCCAGCCCTGGGAGCTCTAGGCCACCTGGATCTGCAGGTCCTCATCCTCGTCCAGGTCGCTGGCTCCGTCCCCCGCCTCCTCGGCCCCAAAGCGAGCGCTGCGGATCTTTCCAAAGAGGGGGGCGTTCTGCTGCTGCCTTCGGAGCCTGCGGGGTGGGGTGACGGGCGGGTCGGGGATGAGCCTGATCAGCTGGTGCTACAGCAGCTAAGCCGCCCCTAGCGCTTCCCTGCTGCCAGGCACCAGACTGGGCCTTCTACAAACATTACCTCACCTCACTTCATCCTCCCGGAAGCCCCTGAAATGAGGGAGGTGCTTCTGTCACCCCCATTTTACAGACAAGGAAACTGAGGCACAAAGCAGTTGAGTAATGTGCCCGAAGTCCCACAGACAGCAGTGAGAGGTGCTGGGCTCTGAGCTGGATGGCTGGCTATGGAGTGGGCCAGGGGCTCAGAGAGGCGAAGCCGCAGGCTCAAGGTCATGCTGCTGGGATTCAAACCCAAGCCAGGCTCCAGAGCCCACAGGGAGAGAGTTTGGGGGTGTGGGTTCTGAGTCCCCCACATTCTCAATGTCAGTGAGAAAGCGCTCCACCCTAGTTCTTCCCCACAGTAAAATTCCTAAAGCCAAAATTTACCAGGCAAACTTCCCTCTAAGAGGAGCTGGTGGCGGAAATGCCCATCCCCCCTTTCCCTTGGCTCCCCTGCCCCCCAACCCCAGCGGAGTAGCCGCCCAGGCTGCATCTTACTGGAAGGCATGAATTATTAACACGGCAGGGAGGGGCACAGGCGGGGGCCTCCATTACTGCACTGTGATTTAGTGAGCTGTCCCCGGAACATTAAAGCACGAAAAGTTGGGAAATAAAATGAGGCAGCGGTCCCGGGCAGCCCCGCCCTCCCCGATGGAAGCACTTGAGAGGCTGGGCAGAGCCTGCCTGCCCACTCTGGGAGTTTATGGCTCCCCAGAACGTGGCCAAGACTGCGGGAGAGCCCTGAGGCTAGGCGGCCTTTGGAGGGGTGTGTGCTGGGTGGGGCCGGGGTTGGGGGGGCGGGGTGGGGGGGCGGGGCACAGCTGGCCAGACACTGAGCCTGACTTGGGCTCATGCCTGGGCCCCTGAACAACACTTTACAGGCAGCATCCCAGGCAGCTGGGGAAACTGAGGCTCGGCTGGCCAGGTCACACAGCTGACAGGTCTGCCTCCCACAGCTTGTACTCTAAGCCACAGAAACTCAGCACACACAGTACATGTTCTGCAAATGAGGGCTCAGGCGGCAGATGGCGGGGGGCGGTGATCTGGCCTGACCACCCACTAGCTGTGTAGCTGTGGAAGGACTTACCCTCTCGTGCCTTAGTTTCCTCGTCTGCCAGCCCCCTAGGAAAAAAAATCTCTCCCTTTCCTTCTCTCATAGGAGCATGATTCTTATAGCACAATATCTGACCCAAATACAAAAGCTCCACTAATATTTAGCATCTATTATGTGCCAGGTACTTTTATAAGCATAGATCAGCTCATTTAATTCCCACAACCAAGAGGTAATAAAAACTGTTATCAGCCCCATTTTACAGATGAGCAAACTGACCAAGAGAGGTCAAGTAAGTGGCCCCAAATGACACGGCTACTAAGTGCAGAGCCAGAATTCCCAACCACCCAGGCAGCCTGCTGCAGAGCCTGGGCTCTGTCTATTCCATGAAATAAGAGGACGCAGGTACGGGCCTGCCCCAGGCGTGGCACAGGAAGACTCAGTCTCAGGTGGGGGCTTCTGAAATGGGGAGGGGCTTGGACTAGATATTATCTGTCATCTCATGTCTCTGAGGGGAGTCGGGGGAGAGAACCATTCACAGGGTGTTGTGATGGAGAGGGAGGCAGCAGAGGGATGCAGAGTGTGCTGGGTGGGTCCCCCAGACCTTCTGGTCCTCCCTCACTGAGGCTGATGGGTCCTGTCTACAGATGAGGAGGTCGGGGCTACCATCAAGGCCGGGGCTCCTCCGTGGTTCCCTGCCCTCCAGTCCTTCAGGATCACCCCAGCCTGCTCATTCTTCTTATCAAAGACTCCCCAGACCCACCGTCCCTCCCTGCTGCCCCACGTTGGGCCTGACCTCTTTGGCCGCCCCTCCTATCCTCTGGACACACGACACAATTCCAAGGCTCCCAGCTGGTCTTACTTCCTGCACTCCCTTCCCCGGTTTCCTGGCCCTGGCCCTTCCTGCCTGGAGGGGACAGGATTCTGGCCCCAGGACGTCCAGATCGCTTCCTTCTCTGTCTTCCCCACTAGCCCCACTCAGGGCTCCAACCCTGACCCCTGACCCTTGGCTTCCCTCGGCTGGAAGCGCTTCTGCCCTGTTTCTGAGCCCCAGCCAGGAGTCCTCCCCCGGAGGGGCTGCACGCTGGGCCCACCTGGACTGCACGTGCTCCAGCTGCACTTGCAGGTTCTCGCTTTGCTCCGTCTGCTCGTCCAGTGACCGCTGCAGCTTACGCGCCTGGTTGTGGGCCTCGTCCAACTGGGGGGTGAGCAGGGCCAAGAGTGTGGGAGTCACCCAGGGCTGCGCCAGCCTCTGCCCCTCCATCTGCTTGGGACCAGCCACTCCTGCTGTTCCTCTGTGGGAATGACCTTCCCCAAGAGCAATTCCTGTCGCTCCTTTGAGGCCTACCTCCTCCAGGGAAACATCCCTTTCACTTCTCTTCTTTCCTGTGGCCCCTCCCTTCCAAACCTACCCATCCTCTAACGCCCCAAGCTACTGACCCACCCATCAACCTACCTACCCTATGAACCTGTCCATCTGATCATTCATCCACGGAAATATCCTTCTGCTCATGGAGGTACCCACCACTCACCGTTCGTTAATCTCTTCAGACACCCATTCACCCTACCCTTGTGTCCTTCCATCCTTCTGTCCTTCTTTCCCTCTTCATTCATTCTTCCACCCACTGACCCAGTCAGCTGTCTGTCCATCTTTCCACTATCCACTCAGTTATCCATCTTTCCATATATCCATCCATCCAACCAATCACCCATCAGACATCTGCTGTTACATCTCATCCATCTATCCTCTCTCCCTCTCCCATCCATCTGCCCACCTATTTCCTCATCCATCTGTTCATCCATCCATGGAGTTATCCTTCTGTCCTTCTATTTAACCAACTCCATATCCACCCACTCATCCATCCATTAATCTATTCAACCACTTATCCACCTTGTCTGTCCATTTTTCTTCCCATCCTCCTACCCACACACCATCTGTCACCCACCCACCTGCTCTATCCTGGGTCCCTCTTGAGAGTCAGGCTTGTGCCAGGGGACCCAGCACGGACCGACATGGGAAGGCCCTGCAGCCCCACTCCCACCTCCCCCAGCTGAGGTCTGCAGGCTGTGCTTTGGGCCCCAGCAGGCGCTCACCTCGTCCTCAGCCTGGGCCAGCTCCTTCTTGAGCTCCTCCACCCGCAGCCGCAGCTTCTTCACCTCTGCCTCGTGCTGTTCCACCCGCCGGTTGGCGTGTGCCAGCTCCGCCACCTTCTCCTGGAATTGCTTCTTCAGCTTGCTGTGCACATGCTTCAGGTCTGCCAGCTCCTGCAGGGGAGCAGAGATTGGGGGAGGGCTCGTGCGAGGGAGTTCCATGAGGTCAGGCAGTTCTAGGGGTGCCGGTGTCTCTCTTGCCCGGAATCTCTCCACCTGCTGTCTAAAATACCAGTACTAGAGCTGGCTGAGCAGCTGGAGGCTACAGGTGCCGTCTAGTGAGGTGAGAAGGCATGCGGGGCAATGAGGGAAGAGGTGGGTGGAACTGGTGGCTCCACTCTGGACATGTAACTCTGGGGCGCCTGCGGGACATGACATGGAGGTGTCCAGCAGCCTACTTGAGCTGAGTCATGTTTTCTGGGGAGGGGTGAAGTCGGGATTCTTTGGTGTGTAAATGGCATTAAAGCCCTGGGTCTGGAGATGAGCTAAGATGGGGAGTGGGTGTCGGAAGAAAAGAGATCAGAAGCCAGAGTGGCTGGGAAGGGGATGAGCAGCCAGGAGAGGAGCTGCCCACCCCTGAGCTCTGTGATTTCTCTGAGCCTCAGTTTTCGCATCCATGAAACGGGGACAGGAACTACCTAAAGGTCTCTTGAATCCATCCTCTTTGTTCCATCTCCACCAACCTGAGCCTGGTCCTGGCCTACCATCATCTCCCGCTGCCCTGGGAAACGGCGACAGACTCCCCACCGGCTTGCCTTCCTATCCGCCTTCCACACAGCAGCCAGTGAGCGCCGAGAACCACAACCTGCTTGCACCTACCTCTTACTCTTCAAAGGTGGCCCTGAGCTCCTGCCTCACCTACCACGTCCTTCTTGCCCACCGCCCTCCAGGCACACCGGCCACCCTGCTCCTCCAAAGTTCCATGTCCCTGTCGCCATGGGACGTTCATTCACAGTATTTCCGAATCCTCTCCCGGAATCAGTTCACTACCAGTCAACACCTGCTTTCGCTTGAGAGCTGGGCTCAAACGTCACTGCCTCAGGGAAGTCTCCCCATGACCTGGGCCTAAGCCAGGTCCCCTGGTATTCCCTCTTCCCTCTTCCTGCCCAGCCACGGAGCTGTGTGACCAGCGTGAGTGTGTAAGGGAGTGAAAAACACCTGCATCGCCCTGAGCCACCAGCTCCACGAGGGGAGGCCACGTCCCTCCTGTCCGTTCACTGCTGTGTCCCCAGCACCTAGAACAAGGCTTACACATGGTGCTCAGTAAACATTTGTTGGGTTAATAAAAGGGCTGTTGAGAGGATTAAGTGATATCATGGACAAAAAGCACCGGCACAGGGCCTGGCCCACAGTGGTGCCCCATAAATGCAGCTACTATGATATCACTTAGCATGGCCCACAGCAGGCGCCCGGCAGGAGCCGCGGCTGTGGTGACTACAACCTCTGTCCGTAGTTGTTACTTCAACGGTCCCTGGCCCCCTGTGGGTTGGAGCTGGACACCCAGGAGGCCCTCTGCCCCAGCCCTGGCCGCGCCACCCACTGCCCCACCTTGTTCTTCTCGAAGAGCGCGGCCTGGCTGGCCCGCAGGTCGCAGTCCAGCGCGCTGGCTGTCTGCCGCCGCCGCCGGGCCAGCGCCTCCTCCAGGTCCCCGACCTGTGCCCGCAGCTTCTTGTTCTCACGCTCTAGGCCCAGCTTCTCTGTCTCCAGCCGCTCACGGCGACCCCACTCGGCTGCGTTCTCCGCCTGCAGCCGCTCCATCTGCAACAGGGCAGGACAGGGGGAGGGGTCCACAGGGAGGGGGTGCGGAAGGCCAGAGCTGGAGGCTCCCCCCACACCACCTCCTCCTGCAGCCGTTTTTTTGGCTCCAGGAAGCAGGTCCAGCTGCAGCGGCTATAATTAACCCGGGCTTATTTCACGGTGTGCAGGATATGAGGGCGCTTCTAGTCTCTGTGTGGGAGAGAGGCCCACCCCCTGCAGACTGGAGCACCCTCGGGGTGTGGCTGGTTCCCCCTTAGTGTACAGGCCTGGTTCCTGCCCTCTTCTTCGTGAATGACTGATGGTGGCAGGGCCCCTGGTCCCCCGAGCTCCAGGCGCTCCCAGCGGCCTCACCTCGCCCCTCAGCTCCGCCATCTTCCTGTCCATGCTGGAGCGTGCACCCAGCTCGTCCTCCAGGTCTTCGGACATGCGGCCCAGCTCGTCCTGGTGGGCCTCCTTCAGGATGCTGAGCTGCATGACACAGCACAGCCTGGTGAGGTGAGGACCACCAGCCCTGGTGGGTGGGCACTGGTCATAAGGGCTCAGCAAGGAGCCTGAGGTGGTGCCCAAATGGGCCACCGGGTAACTAGAACAGACCCCAAATTTGACCACTTCTGCCTCTTCTGACATCTCTCACCTCTTACCTCATTACCATCTAGCCTCCCAGTGTCCACTCTTGCCCCTCATCTCCCCAGTCAACCCATTTTCCACCACAACAGCCCAGGAGGAGCTTTGAAAAAAGATAAACCGGGCTTCCCTGGTGGCGCAGTCGTTGAGAGTCCGCCTGACGATGCAGGGGACGCACGTTTGTGCCCCAGTCCGGGAAGATCCCACATGCCGCTGAGCGGCTGGGCCCGTGAGCCATGGCCGCTGAGCCTGCACGTCCGGAGCCTGTGCTCCACAACGGGAGAGGTCACAACAGTGAGAGGCCCGCGTACCGCAAAAAAAAAAAAAAAAAAAAAAAAAAAAGATAAACCCAGGAGAATTCCCTAGCGGTCCAGCGGTTAGGACTCGGCGCTTCCACTGCAGGGGGCTCCGATTCAATCCCCAGTTGGGGAACTAAGATCCTGCAAGCTATGCGGCGTGGCCAAAAAATAAATAAAAATAAAAAAGATAAACCCAATCATATCTCCATTCCCAGGTTCCTTAAGATAAAAACTGACGGATTTCCCTGGTGGCGCAGTGGTTAAGAATCTGCTTGCCAATGCAGGGGACATCGGTTTGAGCCCTGGTCCGGGAAGATCCCACATGCCGCAACTACTGAACCCACGTGCCACAACTACTGAGCCTGCGCTCTAGAGCCCACCAGCCACAACTACTGAAGCCCGTGCACCTAGAGACCGCGCTCTGCAACAAGTGAAACCACTGCAATGAGAAGCCCGCGTACCGCAACGAAGAGTAGCCCCCACTCACCACAACTAGAGAAAGCCCGTGCGCAGCAACGAAGACCCAAGGCAGCCAAAATAAATAAATAAATAATAAAAATTTTTAAAAAAAGATAAAAACTGACCCCTCCCTATGGTCCCATAAAGCCCTGCACGATTGGACCCCTACCTGTCTCCCCTCAACCGCATCTCCCACCTCTCTCCCTTGAGCTCTCTGTGCTCTGGGCACCTCGGCCTCCTCCCTAGTCCTCAAATACACAAGTTCCTGTCCACTGCAGGCTTCACACGTGTGGTTCCCTCTGCCTGGTGCCCCCGTTCAGAGGTATCTTGAAGGGCTGACTTTTCTCATTCTCAGGTCTTGGCCTAAATGCTCCCTCCTCAGGGAGGCCTCTCCTGTCCTCCCTGCCTAGAAGGGGTACTTCTCCACACACACGCCCGTCCCCCCGAGAATGTGAGCTTGGGAGGACAGACAGCGTGTCTGTCTGCCCGCCTTCGTATCCCTGTATGGCCTGGGCCCAGGGCAGTGAACACTGGCTGAACGCACCCAGTGGATCTGAATCCGGGTCTGCCTGTGGGTGTGGGGTTGGTCACATGAGAAGCACCTGGGGTGCTTTTAAAATAGTGCAGATTCACTGTTGTATAGCAGGGAAAACTGCCAGATGAATGCTCTTTGCAACGGCGTGGATGAGCCTTAAATATGGAATGTTGAGGGAAGAGAGCCTGATACAAATGAGAATCTTTATAATTATGTATCTGTAAATCTGCACGGTTGTCTTACTCACTTTTCTTCAAAAGATTACACAATTTGAAAAGATTAAAAAGACAGATTCTTGGACCCAACCCCCAAAGATGCTGACTCAGGAGGATGAGGGTGACGTCTGGGAAGCTCTATTTTAGGAGATTCCTTAAAGAGATTCTACTTAAAGACAGGTTATCCAGGACAGTTTCAGGCTCTGAGGTCTGTGAACCTCACGCCTTCTGGAAAAGTAGGGATCCAGCCCAGCTTTCCGTGGGTGGCTGCGCCCCCTGGTGGCCATCAGGGCCTGCACAGGAAGCAGTAAGGGAAGCCCAGCCTGACCCCTGGCTGCCCTGAGTCCCCAGAATGCAGTGGTGGAATCCCCTCTCTGCCAGCTGGAGCTTCAGTTTCCTCATTTGTAAGATGGGGACATCAGGACCCAGATGTCTTGACTGCTGTGAGGCTCCAGCGAGATTTTGCTCCCACTGTGTGCCCAGCGAACGTCCAGACTCCTCCCCTTCATCTTGGTCTACAAGGCCTATGGGATCTAGCTCCCCTTGCAATCTCATCTCTCAGTTACTATCCTCCAGCCACACTGGCCTCTATTTCCTGAACACACTAGGCTTGTTCTGGCCTCAGGACCTTTGCATTTGCTGTACCTTCTGCCAGGAACTTTGCCCCTATCTCCTCTCAAGGGTGGCTTCTTCTAATCACTTTAGCTCTTGCCTCAAATGTCACCCTCTTGGAGAAGCCTTTCTTTCAATGACCCACCACCTCATTTCCCTGATTGTGTTTTGACTCTTTCACAGCTCCTGAATTTATCTACCTGCTTACTGTTGGTCTCCCTCACCACGGCCCCCCCAAGGTGAGCTCCTAAAGGTAAGGACATTGCCTGCCCCAGTACTCAGAACACTGCATGGCACATGGCTGGTGCTTGACAGTGAATGAATGAATGCCCTTCTTTCTTCCATTCCCTCTGCTGAAATTCAGCAGCGCAGCACTGCTTCCTCCAGGAAGCCCCTGTGGTCTCCAGGACTCACTTGTTTGAGCATCTCCTGCTTGGTCTTGCTCAGCTCCTCATGCTTGATCTTCCACTGGCTGAGCTCCCCCTCCAGCTTCTCAATGTTCCTGCTCAGTGCCATTTTATCCCTGGGGAGGGGAGAGGGAGGGATAAATGGGGGTGAGTCCACTGGGGCCCTCCGCTGAGTCCTCCTATGTAGTCTGCACCTGTCAATCCCATGTCCAAAGTGCTTGCCTCTGCATTCAAGGCCCTGGCGCCCCACTCTGCGGCAGGCACCCTGGGTTTGCATTTCTTCTGGAGCTCCACCCTCTGCACAGCTACAGGTGCCCAGCTCCCAGTGTGGAGTGACCGGGCCTCCAGGGCACTGGGCCCTGGGCTCATGTGCCAAATGAGCCCCCCATTTCTTCCTATCTGTTTTATGTAGGCTGGGTTTGAACACACAGCTTTGCAGTTGGAAAAGCTGGGAAACACTGTCCAGTGACTCTCTGAAGGACGGGTCCCGTCTTGTCATCAGCACTGGGTGGCAGTCCCATGTGTTCTCGTGACCCCCACCCTGCACTCTGTCCTGAACATGAAGGAGGCGCTGTGGGTAACAAGCGTGGTATCTGGCCCCAGCACACAGTGCTTTACGACCAACCCCACCCCGTGCTGGTCTCCCGTTCTGAAAGTCTAGTATTTCTTTACATTTCAGTTTGTACAATAGGTTGATTTTTGTTTGTTTTGCTTTAAAAGAAAGGTATTGTCTCATAGTTCTGGAGGCTCCAATCTAAGACCAAGGTGTTGGCAGGGTTGGTTCCACGTGAGGGGTGTGAGGGGAAATCTGTTCTACGCCTCTCCCCTGGCTTCTGGTGGTTTGCTGACAATTTCTGGTGTTCCTCGGCTTACAGAAGCATCACCCTTATCTCTGCCTCTATCTTCACAAGGGCATTATGTTGATTTTTAAAAGACTTCTGTGTGTAGTTAAGTTAAACTGTCTTTGTGTTTAGTTTCTGGACAGAAAAGAGGGTGTTACAAAATATTCATCATAATCGGGCTTGTGCCCCGATCAAGGTAACTGGTGACCTCCACGTCCTAAATCCACTGGTCAGTGCTCAGTCCTCTTCCTACTTGACTAGCTGATCACTCCCTCCTCCGTGACAGAGTTTCTCCTGCTTTCTCTGCCCCCCACTGGCTCTCTTCTCCTGTCTCCTTTGCTGTTTCCCTCTTCTAAACTTGGTCAGCTTCAGGGCCCCATCCTCTGGCCACCTCCCTATCCACTCTCACCCCAGCTCACGGCTTTCAGTATCATCTACTTGCCAATGACTCTTGCGTTTTTACCTCCAGCCCAGACCCGTCTCACAAACTCCAGATTCATTCATGTCCCCAACTGCCTCCGTGCCATCTCAAACTCAACACGTCCAAAGCCAAATTCCCAGCTGCAACCCCCCAATCTCCCTATCCCTTCTTCCCTGCTTTTATTTTTGCCCACGGCACTCTCCCCCCATGAAGGCAGGGACTTCTGGTCTTACTGATGGCTGTATCCTCACTGCTGAGCAGAGCCTGACCCCGATGCCCAACACGTATTATTTGAATTAATGATAATAATAATAAAAAAAACCCTCACACTGTGTCCTTGGGCAGAGCACCACTGTTCTAAAGTCCCAAGACTGAAACAGTACCATTCCGCTTCAGTGAATCTCACCTTCTGAGACACGGATTTTCACTCTGTGATTCTGAGGACGCCCTGGAGTGGCCTGGCCCGGCCCCCGGCCCCTGCCTGCCTCCCGGGACTTACTCTCGCTCCTTGAGCAGCACCTTCTGGGACTCATCCAGCCGTAGCCGCAGGGCAGTCAACTTGGAGGCATCCTCCTCGATGGTGGCGGTGTCCTCCCAGGGCAGTCGGCTACGCTCCTGGCGGCCCGAGCTGCCCCGTGAGGCCCCGGCCCCTATGCTGCGTGCCTCCCAGCAGCCCTCGGGCTCCTCAGGTCTGCTCTTCAGCAGGCCCTCCACCAGCTCCAGCTCCTGCGGGGTCCAAGGTGCAGGCGGGGTCAGTGGTCGCTGAGTCCTCACCCCCTTGGCCTTCATCGTGGCCTCTCCTAGGCCCAGGGTCTGCCATCAGCTTGGTGGGTAACCTTGGGCAAGTCACACAGTGCTTCTGGATCCCAGTTTCCTCTTCTGCTGCCTGCTTCTCCACCCCTGGAGAGGGAGGGACACACCCTCTCCCTGCACTGCCTAAAAGTGCACACAGAGTCAGCCACTAAGGTTCCCTGAATCCTGGAAGAGTCCCCAGAATAGGTGGTAAGCTCCCTGTCTGTGGAAGTATGCAAACATTTGGTGGGACACTGGTGTGAAGGTATGTAGAAGCAGGGATTCCTACAATGAATAAAGACTAGATTCCCTCAAAAGGAATTCCCACTCGAAGATCCCGTTTTTCAGGTGCAAACACCTGCAACACGATAAGTGAAGCGGCAAAAGATGCATAGGAAGGTGGGTGGCCTCTGCGAGCAGAACCAGCTCCCAGATAGGAAGCAGCGAGGGATTATTAACTCAACTCTGAGGCCTCTTCCTCCCTGCCAGGCTCCCCTTCCCCTCTGCCCTTGTCTGCCCCCTGGCCTGCCTCTGACTACAGACCCAAGACGCCCGTGGCCTCTGTTACAGCCTGGCTTTTCGCACAGCCTTTCCAGATGAGTCTGGGCCAGCCCCTTCCCTGACTGGCCCTTGGTTTCCCTATCTAGACTGGGACAGTGGCCCTGAGGCCCCCCTGAGGAGTGAGATTCTACTCCTCTTGTATCTCAGACTGTCTGGGTGGGGGCCTCTGATGCCACCTGGTCCAAAGCTCCAATTCACAAATGAGGAAACAAGGAGGGAAGAAGGGACTTGCTGTGGGTCACAGAGGACAGGGCTGGGCTGGAGAGCAAACTCAGACTGCAACTCCAGAGCTCCCACCGCTGGTACCTGCCACCCCGTCGACTGTGACTCATAACCAGAAGAAGGAGAGAACAGGAATAGTGCCGTGAGGCTGGCTGGTATACAGGGGCTCTCATTCCCTGCCCCGAAGAAAAGCAATGAACCCCAACTGCAAACACCATGCAGGCCTGGGAGAGAGGGGCTTCAGCCACCAGGAGGCAGCAGTGCCCACTCTAGCCCACAGGCAGAAGAGGAAAGGGGGCAACCAAGAATCTTAGCTAGAGGAGCTGGCCTGCCTGGGGACGGAGCTGGGAGCAACCTGAGGCTGGACTCTATCCCTAGATGGCCTTCTGGTGACAGGCCTGCTAGTTCAGGGGAGGCTGCCCTCCACACACACCATTAATATTCCAGATGTACTGATTACTATCACCATGGGCTCTGGAGTTCACTTGGGGGCAACTCCCAGTGACTCTAGTCACCAGCTGGGAGCCATTGGTACTTAACTTCTCAACGCCTCAGTGTTCTCGTTGGTAAAGGAAATACTTCCTGGGGCTGCTCTGAGAATTAAGCAGACAATGCTCGTGCATAGCCTAGCGCCCCGTGGAGGTGCCCATCGAACCGTGGATGCCATTTCCCAAACTCACCAGGCACTCTCGGCCTCTAGGTTTTTGCACAGAATTTCCATCACCTGGAATGCATTCCTGCACTTTTCACAGCCAATTCCTCCGCATCCTCCTAGTCTCAGCTTAAATGGACTGCTTCCAGAAAAGCTTCTGTGCAGCCCCCTCCTCAAAGCCTGGATCTGGGACCTCCTCTGTGCTCCCACTGCCCGGATAACCCCCCACCCCTCAGCTTTGATTGACACCTCTTATAAATGTCTCCCCCTTCCCCTAAATTCAAATCGAACGAATGAATGGATTCAGCTCTGCTACTAATGGATGTCTTCCAGGTAAGTGCTTAGAACCTGCTCCTGCTCAAAGAGGATGATTTCTTGGTTCTGTTGACTACTCAGGTGTGGGAGTGGAGGGACCACGAGAACCAGGGACTCTCTGCCCTGCGGGCGGTCTCTGGAAGGGAGGTAACCTGGGGCCCTGCAGTGCAGAGCCTGACCCCCTGAAGGAGTGAAACCTCCCTGCGGGCCCGGCCCTTACTACCCCTCTTTCTAAGCCAGGCGGCCACCTCTTCTGCCCGAGTCAATCAGCCCCTCCCACTTCTAAAATCCAGCGCGAAGGCCCCGCCCAGCAGCCCCGCCCCCCCGCCGCGCACTTGGGGCAGCCCCGCCCCCCCGCCGCGCACCTGGCTGCCCGTGGGTCTCTCCGACCCGACGTCGCGCACTGGCTCCTGCTCCCTCTCTGGCTCGGTCTCGGGACCGTCAGGCGTCCTGTCCATGACCCCCCGGGCGCCCCGCAGCCGCGCCAGTTCGCGGCCCCGCGCCTCGCACTCGCCCTGCGCCTCCTGGCGCTCGCGCCGCGCGCCCGCCAGCTCCTTGGTGAGCGCGTCGAGACGCTGGCGCAGCTGGCGCACCTCCTCGCGCGCGCGGTTGCGCTCGGCGCGCACCTTGCTCCATTTCTCGCGCCAGTTGGCCGTGCAGTCCGACCACCAGCGCATGGTCTTCTCCATCTGCGCCGCCCTCGCGCGCGCCTCCTCCAACTCCCGCAGCCGCAGCTCCTCACGGCTCTCCCAGTCCCCGTCGGCCAGCAGCGCGGGCGCCGGCGGCAGCGGCAGAGCAGGAGGCGGACCGGGCGAGGGCGTGCCGCTCGGCGGCGTGGGCGGCAGCGAGTCGGCCGGCCCCATGCGCTCGGGCGACGGGCTGCCCAAGATGGTCAGGAGGCTGCCTTTGGACAGCTGCGGGGACTCGGCCAGCCGGGGGCTCGGCCCGTGGCTCATGGTGTGGCCGCGGGGGCGGGCAGGCTCTCAGCCCTGGGCTGGAACTCCCAGACTCAGAGGCGGCGCGGGGCGCGCGCGGCGTACGCGATACCACTGTGCATGATGGCCACTGCTACCCGCTGCTCTCCCGGCCACGGGGCGGGGGATGCCTCCTCCAACCTGTGGGAGAACACAACCATTATTAGGAGGTGTCTACCATCCGTCCATATCCTTAAGCTCAGCCATGGGAAGGGAGTAACCGGCAGAGGGAACAGCATGGGCAAAGGTGGGAGGAGTGAAAATGGTCACCTCCAGAAGCCCCAGTGAGGCTGGAATGGTGAGCAAGGGCCTGCAACCGCTTCCTCACTGGCCTCCAGACTCCGCCCTTGAGTCCCTTCACCCTGCAGCAGCTGCAGCTGATCTGAAACCTTGATCTGCTGTCCCTGACCTTCAGGTCCCATCTCACACAGCGAATGGCTTATACTATTCTCTCTCCACCCGGAATGCTGCATGCTTCCATGCTGGCCCTGCCGCCAGGAGTCCCCTCCCAGCCTCTTCCTGCACTGGGCTAACGCTTCTCATCCTTAAAACTTATCTGAGATATCACCTTCTTCAAGAAGTTTTCCCGGACGCCCTCAGGCCAGGTGGTCAGCCCCAGCCCATGTCTCCACTAGCCAATCTCACTGTACCACTTATCTGTGTCCCTGTGTGCTCCCCATCCTGACCCCAGGCTGTGAGTTTGCTGAGGGCAGGGGCTGCCTCCTGGTCTTTGTCCCAGCACTGATGACAATGACAGTGACATTTATGGAGGCCCAGGCACCATGGCTATGTGAACTATCCTCTCAACAGACTTGGGGGAAATTATAGACATTTACTGAAGAGGAAAGGGAGGCTCAGCAAAGTTAAGCCCTGGAGTTAATCCAGATACAGCACCCAGAAGTCCAAATGCAAACACTGGGGCAGGTCTGGTGAACACCTGCACGCACTGGTGGGACGACAGAAATAAGCCGGTGTCTAGATGGTGGCGGTGCGGTGTGGTGAGGTGCCCCCCATGCCTGCCGCTGAGCTCTGCTGTTCACGGGCCACGTCCCCTTTAAAATAAGTGAGACACATGCCCCTCTCTATCCCCAGCCTGCCACACTCTCCCTCCACGTGGCTCTGTGCTGACCCCCAGGAGCAGCCCCTCGGGGCATCTCGTACTTCTTTCCCCATTCAGCTGGGCCTGTCCCACAGATCCTCACCCCGGCCCCTAAGGCCCTGCCCTGATTGCCATCTCTTCCTTTCTTCAGGGACCCACCAGGGCACTGCTGGTGGGGCTCTCAGCAATCCGGAACAGTGTCCCAACACTGTCTGGCCAACGCTCTGTGTCACCTCTTCACCCTCCTCTGGCCTCTAAGCCCCTCACTCTTGGCAGGTGATCTAATGTCAGAGTTTGCAGTGAAAAGAGAAGCTGTCAGGCTGGCACTCCCTCCCTGTCCTGCCCCAAGCCCCACGGCCCCCTCCTCTCTGCCCCTAAGAGGACAGCGGGGCTCTCCCTCCTTGGGTCAAAGTCCTCCCACATCCAGCTTCTCCCACCCCTGCCAGTGATGCCTCTCCAGGGGGCCTTCCCCACCTGCTAAAGTCTCTCCTGGCACTCTCACCTCACTTCTCTGTCTCCTCCCTTTCAAGGCCCATCCAGAGGGGTCCACACTTGCTGTCTCCACCCTGTCCACCTCCCTCTCTCTCTCTCATCAGGCCTTGCCAGGCTGGCTTCTGGCTCCCCTGCCCTACCCACTGGGCACATCCTAGCCCTCCCAGGTGTGCCCTCTCTAGCTCTGGGCACCTTCCCTCCCTCCCTTCTTGCATCGCTCTCTCCCAGGGTGTTCTCCGGGTTTTCCTCCTCTTCTCCAGCTGTTCCCCATCACCTTCCCTGGAGTGCTGGTGTCATCCAGTCCTTGCCCCCTTCTCCTCTCTGGCTGCCCCTGCCTGAGCCATCTCGCCATGTCCTCAATAACCCTGAATCTCTCTCTCCACCCCAGGCTGCCTTCCAGAATCGCCCAAACCACCAGCATGTCCCTCAGACAACTCAGACTCAGCTTGGTCGGATGGGATTCACCGTCTCCACTCTCCCCACTACTGGATCCTCCTTCTGGATGTCCCCTCTGGGAGAAGAGCATTTTCTTACTCCTTCACGCTGTGGGAACATCCTGGAATCTGCTTTCTCCCCACCTCCAAGTCATGTCAGTCTGTCTGCCACACATCACGTGGATCTATCCACCTTCTTCCTCCTCAGCCACTAACCTGTCAAGGCCACCACCATCATCTCCCACCTGGGAGACTGCAGCCACCGCCCTCCAAGCCCCATCCCCCTGTCCCCTTTTGCCTCCTTCAAATCCATTCTCAAGAGCAGCAGCCAGAGTGAGTTTTTAAAAACACAAACCTGGGACTTCTCTGGTGGCGCACTGGTTAAGAATCCGCTGCCAATGCAGGGGACACGGGTTCGAGCCCTGGTCCGGGAAGATCCCACATGCCGCGGAGCAACTAAGCCCATGCGCCACAACTACTGAACCTCTGCTCTAGAGCCCGTGAGCCACAACTACTGAGCCCACGTGCCGCAACTACTGAAGCCTGCGCACCTAGAGCCCGTGCTCCGCGACAAGAGACTGCAATGGGAAGCAGTCTGCAATGAGAAGCCTGTGCAGCAACGAAGACCCAACGCAGCCAAAAATAAATAAATAAATTTATATTAAAAAAATTAAAACACAAACCTGATCATGCCAGTGGCCACAACCTTTGTCATTACCAATAGCTGTGACCTCTCTCAAGAGTCAGTTCCAAGCTCACTCCCTCTAGGGATCCAACACCAAAAATTCTTCAGTCTCCAAAGGAGCTACAGCCTACCGATCGCCCCGCCTGTTCACTGTCCCCTCTGCCCACCCTGTCCCTTCTCTCCTTGCTACGTGCCACGGTCGCAACCTCGTCCTCACAAATGCCCTGAGTGCCCCAGCTGTCTCACCTGTTCTTGTCTCTCAGGCAACGCCAACCCTGGTCGCCTCCACCGCTCTGCCTGCTCCTGCCCTCACCCGTATAACCAGGCATCGCAGGTTTTACACCACTGTGTGGACCAGTGTCAGTTTCAATTCATGACCATCAGTGTCATAGTTCCTCAGCATTGATCAGTGATCCTACTACATTTCTCTAGTGCATTTGCTGTTTGTTTACTGTCTGCCTTCACCAGGCACCAGTTCTGGGCCCAGCTCTGTCACCAACCTCATGTAAACCACTGCCCCATGTACTGGGCCTCAGTTTCTCCGCCTGTAGAACTGGGGTGAGAGGTGAGGGAGGCCAGCGCTTCTAGATCAAGGAGTCTTTCAGATTCACCTGGACACTTGCTTAAAATGCAGTTCCTGGGCCTCACCCCCCAGAGAATCATGTTCAGTAGGTGTGGGGCTGGGAATTTGCATTTTCATCATCCAAGTTTGGGACATATGAGTAACTGGTGATGCCTTGTCACCACCCATAGTTCCAGACACACAAACATGCATGTATCAACCCCAGTAACAACTGCACAAAGTTATGTACACAGACACAGCCATACAGACCTAGGTTCCAGGTCCCTGTACACCCCTGACTCCCCACGGGATCCCTGGAAGGCTGAGTGCCCACTGTGACTCACTCTCTCTAACTGTGCAATGAGGTGGCTGGCCTAGATTCCACGTGCATTCACAGACATGTGCACACCCAGACACACATCTGCAGACACACAAGCAATCCCATACATGTAAATATAGACACAGAGACACGGGCAGACACACACACACTCAGAAATGGCCCCGTATGCACACACAACTGTATGTATGCACAGAGAGACGCTCCCTTGTAGATAGAGTTACAGACACCCCTGAAGACATATACATGCCCACAAAGATGGATACACAGGGACATGCAAAGATACATATTCACCCCTAAGACAAGCACATACACACGAACACATACACGGACACGCACACTCCTCCTCGCCCCATTTTCCTGGCCCAGCTCCACATGGAGAAGCTCTTGGAAAAGAAAAACAATGTGAGAGCCTACGGGGTAGGGGAAGGAGGCAGGAAACCCGAGTGCCAGCCCGGCAGGCAGCCCAGGCAGCCCCACCAGAGCTGTGCTGGGAATGGGGGATGGGGGGTGGTGAGGAGGGGGTGCTCGGGGCCGGGCCCCTGTCTGCTGGGCCCGTCCTGTAGCCCCTAAACTGAGAGGGTGGCAGGGGCGGGGGGGGCACTGCCACATTCTCTCTGACACTCTGGGAGCTGCCAGGCCTGGCACGGGGCTTGGCAGGGAGGGGTGGCCCAGTCCTTCCAGGAATCCCAAGCCTGTCGCGCAGGGGCAGGGCAGGCGCCACCCCGGCCCCTAATGGCTTCCAGGCGCCCACACTAAAGGCAGGGGTGGGCTCCAGACTCAGCTCCTGTTCCCCTCCCCAGGAGCCTGGCCCGGCCCCTCCCGGGGGCTGGTGGCGGGGAGCAGTGGGGACAGAGGGGCTCTGAACAGCCCTCCCACCTTCCCTCCTGCAGGCCCAGGGTCCCCTGAAGGGTGTGTGTGCGCGCACATGTAAAGGCACAGGGGTGGGAGCCCAAGGTCGGTTTTCTGGAGAAGCCTACTCCCCAGCACACCAGGAACCCTGCACACACACTCAAGGGCAGCTAGACTCTGCCCAGCAACGCCTCCCCTCACCCCTACCCCCAACCCACTCACATAACACAGCCTTGGGGACATGGACGGACACACACACACACACACACACACACACACACACACACACACAGCCCAAGCCCTGGTAACGTACACGCTCACCGAGAGCTGATGCCACACAGAGGTTCAGCTTGCGGTTGTAGAGACAGGCTCCAGCTGCCCTACCCCACCAGGCTCAGCTCCTTCTTCCCAGGGTTGTGCAGATATGTGTGGGGTGGCCTCCTGATTTCTGCAGGGTGTCACCACCTCCCAAGGATTAGGTGGAGGAGGGACCAGCCTCCACAGGCCCAGAGAGCCTTTCCCACCCACCCTCCCCTCTCTTGCCTCCCACCAGCCAGACGGGTCTATTCCTGCTTGAATCCTCAGGGTTTGTGCCCAGGCTGTTCCCCCACTTGGGATGCCCTCAGCCTCTAAACCCACAGCCTCTAAACCCCCTCAGCCTCTAAACCCACCCACGCTTCAAGCGCAGTTCTACCACCTCCAGGAAACACCTTGGCCCCCCCAGCCTCACTCTCTGCCCGGGAGCAGAGCCCCATAACCTTCCGCAGCCAGACCTGGCCAGCTGCCCTCTCTCTTCTTGCAGTCCAGGCTTCCCCCAACCCAGGTAGGACATTTGCGCCACCCAGAGCCACTAGGGACAGGCCCTGCATACAAGATTTACTCCAAGTTGACTGGTGGGGTGGAGAGCAGAAGGCTGAACCATGACTTCACATCCCCCGAGCTGGGCAGCGGGGCCACGTGGGACTCAGAGCCCCTGAACCCCATCCCTGCAGCCATCCTCACTGCTCCAGGCAGCGGCTGGCCACTCATAGGACAGAAAACATAATGTTTTGATCTGATATTTGCCTCAGGCTAGGCCCTCACCAGCCCTGTCTACACAAAGTGACCAGTGGTTCCTGCTGCTTGTGGACCTGTTTGGAATGTTTGTTTCTCCTTTCTTTCTCCAGCAGCAAACGCCTATGCATCCTTTAAGACCTACTTTGGGATACGTCTCCTCTGGGTAGCCTTCCCTGACCTTGTACACAGAGTATGTTAGTGCTCCCAAAGCACTGGCACCTCCCTGTTCTTCAGCAATTGCCACACTGTGAAGTCCACAAGGGCATCTTGGTCTCGCTGGCTGTCAGCTCAGGGCCCAGATGCTGCATAAATGCTTCCCAGGTTGATGGATGGAAAATGAACAGTTAAGGGTTGCCTATAACCTGGGAGGGTTGAGCCATCCTAAGGATCAGGAGTCACTTTGTGGCCAGGCTCTGAGCCAGCTAGGTGTCAGAGTCTGTCTGAGGCCAAGGTCACAGTGAGAGGTCATCTCATGGCCAGGTCAAGGATCAGGCATCTTATCTGAGGAAGCCTGACTCACAGGGGGACAACTTTGTGTTTCGCCCTTAGCATGTTTAGATGACTCACATCTAGTGAGGAGAGTAAGCAATGCTGAGGCCTAGATGGGGCTCAGTTTAGGGGATTGGGGCCGGTGCGCCTGGTGGCCCTACTCTTCCCTCTAGCTCAGAAACCCTCTATGTTTTCCCAGAACCTTTCAGGTGGGGCTCTAGGGCTGGCGTGTGGCCACAGGCCTGGCTGTGGGCAGGGAGCAGAGCCCGGCAGGAAACCACAAAGGACGGCCTGATTGGATAAGTGCAGGGTCCAAGGCTGGTCAGCCCACAAACTGTGGGCGCCTGTCCCTCTGACCTGCTGCCCACGCTCCAGTCACTGGACCTCCAGGAGAGGACTGAGAAGGAGGGAGGGAGCCTGCAGGTTGAAACGGAGCCCGAGGGGGTGGCCACCCCTGGCCTGTTCCCAGGTACCCCCATCTCATATCGAGGAGCCACAGATATCCTAAATCACCGATCAGAACTCCCTTCTTTATAAATGGGCCAACTGAGACCCAGAGGTACAGCTACTGGTCCACATCCACATAGAGGACCAGCAGCAAAGTAGGGCTGGGGGTGGGGTGCTAGAATGCTGGGACGGGATGCCTCCCCTCTTGGGTCGTGATCACCTGAGGAGCAAGATGCCCCTGGGACCACCTACACAGTGGGGTCCTCAGTCATCAGGCCAAGTGGCCAAACATAGATGGCAGAGGATGGGAGCCTTTCATGGGGGCGGACCCCTGCCCCGGGCCTCTGAGCAACTCCTTGAACTATTCACTCTTGTACAGCAGACTTCCCACGAGTCTCATCTCTGCCTCTGTTATGCTGTGTGCTATCTGCAAGTCCGTGCCCTCTCTGAGGCTGTTTCCTTACTTGTAGGATGGGGAGAGGCACTAACAAGATACCTAAAAGCTTTGTCCAACAAGTGGGAAAAATCTGCGCCAATACGAACTAATCCAAGCTCCACAACAGCCCTACATAACCGACACTTAAGACAGAAAAAGTGAAGCCCCGGATGGGGAACGGGCTTGCCGGACACCAGTCGTTCGTACAATCAGAACGGTGGGTCAACCGAGGCCCCACTCCCTTCTCCTAGCACTGAGCCGTCGTTCCACCTGCCCCTACTCCTTCCAGAAATTCCCCTTCTGCCCTCCCACGACCGCGAGCCGCCTTAGACCTCTCTTCCTTGCCCCCTCCCCAGCCTCCCAGCTCACCCGAGCGGCGGGCTAAGGGAGGAGGGTCTCCCGGCCCCTCGAGACGCGGTCCCGCCCCCCCCACCACGCGGTTCCTTATTGGCAGCCGCCGCAGGCCTGGGGCAGTGGCGCCGCGCTCCGATTGGACCGCGCCGCCCGTCCATCCCGCACTCGCCATGGTGACCACGTTGGGTCCCCCGGGAGAGTTCCAAATTCCGCCCCCGCCCGCTGGCGCCCCCCTCCCGTCCGGCCCCGGCCCAGTGCATTCCGAGGGCGGCCCTGCCTTACCCCCAACTCCCGCAGCCCCTTCACTCCCGAGGCCCGGGCCCCAGGAGGTGCGGGAACCCGGGGAGGGGGCTAGGAAGTTCTGCTCCGAGTCTGGGGGTTGCTGCGGATGCGAGAGCCCCAGCTTCTCTCCTCTACTCCAACGCGCCCCAACTTAACCCCTTCCCTCCCGCGGCCTGGAGGGAGTTCCCGGGACGCAGTGGCTTTCGGTCTCCTGCATTGGCGGCCCCGCTCACCTCGGCCGGGGACCCGCGGGCTCCGGACGTCCGACCCGCCGCGGATGGGCGGAGCGGGCACGGGGCTTGCTGCGGCCGCCGCCGGGAGGGCCGAGGGAGGGCCGCGGAGTCTCCTCCTCCCTCCCAGGGGGAGGGGAGGGAGAGGAGTCGGCGGGGCGGGGGCGGTGGGGCCCCGGCGGGTTGCGGACTGGCTCTGACCCTGGCCGTCCTAGTTGGTGGGGTGGGGGACCCAAACCTAACTTTGGGGCGAGGGGCGCGGGCCGAGCCGGCGGGATCAGCACAGAGCGTGCCGGACCCCGACATAGGCCCCACCCCAGCATGGGGGCCGAGAGTAGTGGGGAAGGAAGGCATGGTCTGGGGGCGCCCGCGGGGCTCGGCTTTCCCGCCTCGGGTTTCTCCTTGCGCCAGTGACATACTAGGCGCCCAGCAGCTGAAGTGGGCACCGGCTGTCCCGGGCTCAGCACGTGGAGCGTGTTTACCAAGTGTTCACTTTTGTTACCTGCATTCTTCCCAGTGCCAGCTCTGCCACCGAGTGGACGTGGAGGAGCAAGTCCCTGCCCCTCATCGGGCCTCAGTTTTCCCTTTGTACAACAGAAGGGTTGGCCAGAGTAACCTCGCGCGTGTTGAGAAGTGTGATGGGGCACTTGGCCCGCCGGGCGGAGGTTTTCTCTGATGTGCCAGGGTACTTCCTGCGAAGGGTAGGGCCGCAGCTGACGGGGCGGTCCCGGGCAATTACCTTCTGGGGCCCTTGCGTGCGCCCTGCCACTTTGGGACTTCCTCCCTTGCGAGTGAGTGTTTTCGGTTTTGGCGAGATGGGGAGGCGGGCGCCTGGCGGCCCTGTTCTTACCACATCCTGTCCGCTGGAAGGCCACTGAGGTGAATCCGTCTAAAAAGAGGACCAGAAGTTCAGAGAGGTATATTGCTGTATTGGGACTTTACATGGGAAAAGAAACTAAAAATGAAGAAGATAAATTAGTTTGAACGGGTAATTAACAGTAGAGACACATCTCTTTTTATTGCCCTTCACAAGATGTTTTGTTTTAACAAATTGAAGGTTTGTGGCAACCCTGTCTAGAGCGAGTCTGTTGGCACCAACGGCATGTGCTTAATTCGAGTCTCTGTGTCACCGTTTGATAACCCTCAAAATATTTCAGACCTTCCACCAGCAAAAAGGTTATGACTTGCTGAAAGCTCAGATGATGGTTAGCATTTTTTAGCAATAAAGATTTTTAAGTTAAAAAGGTTTTTTTAGACATAATGCTATTGAACACTTACTAGACTACAGTATAGTGTAAACATAACTTTTACAGGCACTGGGAAACCAAAAAATTCGTGTGACTCGACTTACTGCAATATTTGATTTACTGTGGTGACTTGGAACCGAACCTGAAATATCTCCAAGGTATGCCTGTATTTAGATTATGGTTGCAATCATGCATGCATTAGAATGAACAAAGTATTGGCTCTTTGCAGCAAGAGGATCAGTTTTTGCAGAAGTATTTGGGGTTTCACTCCCAAGGCTCACTATGAATCCTTTGATAGTCAAACAGTTCTCTCTGGAAGTTCTTGGTCATTTCTCTTACAGAAGTTCTCTTCCTCTGTGGTCAGCTGCTGCTCCATTTCCACGGCATCACTTCCATCAACTTCATGAAATCTCACGCTTTTTGCAAGATTTGCAGTTTCACTCATAACCATTTGCTTTGTATTTGCGTGGTTAAATGTTAATAGCATCTGACAGTCAGCTAGGGACTGATTTGGGTGGGGATATGTGGTGGTTGAGAGGGAACTAACCTGTAAATGTTGCAGTGGCTGGCCTTTGCTTACTGTGTGTATTTTGGACCTGAGAGATTCAGATATTGAGTACTCAGAGGACTGGAACATCCCCATTTTAAACTTGGGGAAATGCTCATTGAGGCTCTTGGCTCAGCCTTACCCAAAGTTTCACAACGAGTAAGGACAGCCATGACCAAGAGTCTAGAGTTCTTTACCAGAGTTTTCTGGAGGTGGGGATACAGATAGTGAAGGTGGAGGAGGCTGAGTTGATGATGAACCTAAGCTCCAATTATAACATCATCACAATAGGACTCTCTCTCAAGAAAAGAAATATACTGTCCTGGGGTGTCTCTTGCAGGGGGTGAGGTGAGGAGAACTGCCGGCTCATAGACCCTAGCTGTGTGTTGACCATAGGCTTGGGAGTTCACATGAATTAACTCAGTCTTATAGCCCTCCTATGAGCTGGGTGTTCTTACCACCATCTCACAGTGAGAAATGTGATCCTCAGATCAGAAGCCGGGTGACAGACTCAGGTCACACGGCTGGGAGGTCTCAGAGCCCAGATCTGACTTTCAGTTTTCCCATTCTCATTCCTTTTGCTAAAACCACGCCTCCTGGCAGTCTTCTGGATGCAGCGCTAATCTGGTGTCAGCCTCCCAGTGGCCCCTGAGGGGTTTCTTTCCCCAATTTAGCACAGGAGGGTTTTGATTGAGGCTTGTGTTAGTATTTCCCACACTTCTGCAGTTCTCTGGCCTGTGTCTCTGCTGCCACTTTTTGCCATCAACATATAGCACTTGTGCTATTATTTACTTAGTGTTTTTCTTTAAATCATTTCACTTTTTTCAGGACAGACGTGTATTTTAGGCTAAATAGGAAATCTGTTATCAGGTGCTGTAACTAGAAGAAAGTCATAAAAATAAACGTCATATAAATAAACAACATCATCAGTCTAGCTAGAAACTTTCTCTCTGTTAAAAAGGGATACAATTTGTACACCCATGTTCATAGGAGCATTATTCATAATACCCAGAAGGTAGAAGCAACCCAAGTGTCTGTTGGTGGATGAATGGATAAACAAAATGTGCTCTATACATTCAAAGGAATATTATTCAGCCTTAAGAAGAAAGGAAATTCTGACATATGCTACAGTATGGATTGACCATAAGGACATCATGTTAAGTGAAACAAGCCAGTCACAAAAGGACAAATATTGTATAATTCCATTTAAATGAGGTTCCTAGAGCCAAACAGAGACAGAAAGTAGAGTGGTGGTTACTAGGGGCTGTAGGGAGTGGGGAATGGGGAGTTAGCGTTTAATGGGTGCAGCGTTTCAGTTTCTGGAGGTGGAAAAGCTCTGAAGATGAAAGGTGGCCATGGTTGCAATATGAATGTACTTAATGCCACTGAACCGTATACTTAAAAATGGCTAAAATGGTAAATTTCTTGCATGTTTTGCCACCATAAAAAATCACTAAAAATCAGGTGTCTTGTTTTCTATGTCCAATAGAAGGTTGAAGAATGAAAATCAAAAGGACAGAAGGCAGTGGTAGAAAGAGGTTAGAGACAATTTAGTTCTACATGGGCGCTTCTGGTTGCCACCGGGATCGAGAAAGACTGAAAAGTAAATGACTTTTTCATGGTGTGACTCAGTAGTTTATCTAAAGGCCTGTCCGGGGTGCCACTTACTGCCCTCTCACAGATCACCGGGGGAGCAGCCCCCATGTGGAGAGACACTTCACTAGGGCTGGGGTGTGGCTCTCCCAGGCTGGGGAGTGGGAAGTGGCTTGCCTTCCTCCCTGCCAGGGGGACTGAACAAGGGCCTGACACACCTCCTAAAGCGGAAGCATCTGGAATGTTTTATAGGGGAATTGGAGTCAGGAAAGGCTTCCCAGAGTAGGCAGGACTGGGCCCTAAGGGATGGAGAGGAGCTAGTGTGCCACCCAGGTATGTGTGTGTCAGAGCAGGAACAGAGCAGGGAGATGGGGATGAACATGGCAAGCACATCCCGAACTGGCTGGAAGTAGAAGTTGGATGGGGCTAGACAGTGAAGACAATGGGAGCCACTGCTGGCTTTTGAGCTGGGGAGTGTCTTGGCAGTGAGTTCCAGGATCTGGAGGGCAGGGTTATGTAACTGGCACCCCCAATTGAGGCGGTGCATAGTAAGGCTAGCACAGATCCAGGATGGAAAATAGAGGGGCTTTTGGGGTGAGCAGGGCTTCCTCCTGGGCCCTGAGAGCAGCTGCTGGTGTTGTAACCCTAGAGGTGGCCAGGAGACCTTGGAAAGGAAGGAAGGGCCTAGAGGTCAAGGGCTTCATCATGGCCACAGAAAACCAAAGTGTGGAGGAGGGCAAGAGTTTGTCCAAGTCACCCAGCAGGAGTGTGGCCGAGTGGTCAGGGCACAGACACACGGGTGTCCCTGCAAAGTCTTTGCACTGCAGCTGGGGTGGGCCTGCGCCTCCCCTAAATCTCCCTGCCCTGCAAGGAGCAGCTCTCCTCCTTCCCTGCACAGAGGCCACCTGAGCTACCTGTGGGCTGTGCTTGAGCTGCTCCAGTGTTGGGGCAGAGAAGAGGGAGACCATGTTGGGACCTGCTTCTTCCTCCCTGTTGCTGCATCCCCATCACAGCCCTGGGGGTAGAAAAGCACATTCTTGAGTCAGAATTTTCCTAGGGAGTCTGGCTGGGGCCCTGGCAAGAGAGAGCACCCTGTCTCCCCACCAACACACACAGACACTTCCCCCTGTTGCTTAGGGTTCTGTGGACGAGGTGACTGATGTAGGACAGGCTGGTCCAGACCTCTGGCTCAAGGAGAAGCTGGCCGGCCTTCCAGCCTCGCAGTTCTGGCCATGTTTTCTGAGCTCTGCTCCCAGTGAGCCCTTTCTCCAAAGGGCTCTGCACTGGGTAACTCTTGTCCTCCCAAGGCCTCAGGCACCCCATCTGTGAAACCTGAGGGCTTCACGGAGCACTTCCGCTGACTCTGCAGCATTACCCTTGATAAGCCCCACACCACCCCATGAAGTGGTACTGTCATTGTCTCCATTTTACAGAGGGGAAACTGAGGTTCAGAGAATTTCCATCACGTGCCCAAAGTTACCCAGCCAGGAAATGGTGGGCCTGGGATTTGAACCCAGGCAGCGTGACCCAGCCCTTGCCTGAGGTCCTTGCCATCATCCATCTCATTGATCGTTAGGTCAGGCAGGGATCATTCTCCCTTTCCTACACAAGGGGAAACTGAGGCCAAGAAAGGTGACGTATCTTGCCCAAGGGCACAGAGCTGAGTGGGTCTTGGACCCCGCTGGATGCCACATTGGCCAGCCCTCCTCCCTCTCCCCACGGACGCCCAGCATCTCTGCAAATGTGCAGCTGCCCGAAGGAAGTGCTGCAGGCCCTGAGGGGGTGAGATCAAGGGGTGAGCTGGGAGTGGCTATCAGCTCAGAAGTAACAAATAGCCTTCTTCCAGTGACAGAAGAAGGGAAGTGGGAGCGTGCAGTGCAGCTGTTGGGTGAAGGGAGCAGAGAGCAGTGCAGGGGCAGGGAGGTCGCCTGCCCGCAGCACAGAGGTCCCCAACTTCCCCTTCATCGTGCAGAAGGCGGCGAGACGGCGGTGAGACAACAGCAGCTGCACAGGTCAGCCCCTCGGTCTGGGTCTTTCCATGCCCCACTCCCTCCAGATTCTGTCCTGACCCTTGGGTTCCCTAGCAGGCACTGGGCACACCCCTACCTGGGTGGTTGCTGGACTGGTGACATCCGTGGAGCCGCAAGGTGGGGACTCACCTTCATTCCCTTCACCAGTTCCTGGGCCCCTGATGACAACCCCAAATCTCAGGACTGTACAGATCTATGTTTCTGAAAAAAGGCATTTAAATTAAGGAGTGGTTGGGTGCTGGGTTCAAATATTTATCCCCCCCACCCCCCTACCCCATGTGGACTGGTGCAAGTTATTGAACTTTGCTTTTCTGCACCTGAGTTTCCTCATCTGTAAAATGGGGCTAGTCCAGTAACCTGCACCTCAGGTGACAGGGGTGAGGGCCTGGCACAGAGTTTATGTTGGGCGAATCAGAGCAGATGCGGTTCCTCTGAGTGACCTGGAAGGGAACCTGGGGACAGTGTGTTCTCAGGCAAAGGCTCTGGACCTGGCTGGGTCACAGACCCCCTGTTGGGTGCTGGTGGAGCCTCCTTTTCCCTGCCTGTGAAATGGGACTGATAATGGCACCTGTCAGGACTTTCCTGCAGAGACCACAGGTTCACTTTTCACCCAGGCCAGGGGGAGGCCAGAAGTAGGGACTTCAGCCTTTGGTTGGCAAGAGCAGTTGCTGGGAGGGGCAGGCGGGACCCTATCCAGGAATGCAGTGGCCCAGTGGAGCCTGGTGCTGTTGGGGAGAGGGCGGGCACAGCCAGCTCTGGATAGGGAGGCAGGGCTTCCGAGCTCTCCCGCCGAGTGTAGTCCTGGCTGGCAACCTTGGGTCAGAGCCTTAGATTCCCTGGAGTGTGGATCATGGAAATGGTTGTCTGAGTCTCTCTCCCTGGGAAATAGATGACCTTGGCCTCATTTTACAGATGAGAAAACCTGAAGCACAGAAAGGTCAAGTTCCTTGCCTAAGGTCAGACCTCAAGTGCTGAATACTGGAACTAGTTATCGAATTTACATCTTCTGAAGGCTCTGTTCTGCTCTCCACTTGTCGCCTCATCCAAACAGCAACTCAGCCACCAGGCCATCTTTAGGAGGCTGCAGCGCATTGTGGGAGAGAGCACTTGACTTGGAGTCTGGGTTTGCGTTTCGGCTGCCCACTGGCCTGCTGAAGAACCCCGGGAAAACCCTTGTGTGGTATTCAGTTTTGCCACGGTCAATGGAACCTTCTTGAGAGTCAGGTAAGGGATTTCTGTTTTCTAGAGGACCCCAAATAGCAAATCGCAAAAAGACGGAGATGGCTGAAGGTGTGAGGTAATGGTGAGTGGTGGTCTCTCTGAAAAGATGAGGCGGGGGATGTTGGAGGTTGCAAGCAGAAGTGAAGATTGTGGTTGCTCCTGGGAAAGGGGGTGGAAACCACAGCTTCTCTTTGGGTGCTTGGTGGGGAGGGTGTCACTTCTGCTTTGGCCTTAATTTCCCCAGTTGCAGGGTGGGGTTAAGCTCCTCTTCCCTCTGTGTATGGCTGGCAGAAGCATGGCCAAGGGCCTGGGGACCCCGTCTTAGGGTCCAGACCCTGGAGGTCAAATCCACATCACTGTCTGGGCCTCAGTTTCCCCCTTCGTACTGTGAGGGGGTCTTTCCTACACTCTTGGGTTCTCAGTTTTCTCACCTGAAACATTCCAAATGGTTTCATTCAGTGGTTTCCTTTGTCCCCCCAAATCTTTTCCTTTAGTCGCTGAGGCTCTGAGAGGGTAAGTGAATTGCCCAAGGTAACACAGCCAAATAAATAACCTAATAGCCAAATAAATAAGAACCCAGCACTCTATGACTCCGAAGTCTTTATTCTCTTTTATTTATTTATTTATTTATATGTGTTATATTATATGTGTTATTTTTAACCTGTTCTTTCCGCTCAATGGTATGCTGTGCTCCTCTTTTATGTGGCTATTTGCATCGTAATTCTTAATAGTGAAATGGCAATCCATCGTACTGTATTTTTTTAACTTTTAATTTTGAAACAATGAAAAATTCACAGGAAGTTGCAAAAAAGGTTTTGTGTGCGTTTCATCCGGTCTTCTTCAATGGTAACATCTTTCACACCTGAGGTACAATATCAAAACCAGGAAATTGACTTTGGTACAATTCACAGCCTTTATTCAATTTCATCAGTTTTTATGCACTGATTTATGTGTGTGTGTGTGTGTGCTTAGTTCTGTGCAATTTTATGACGTGTAGATTCTTGTCACCACCATCACAATGAAGATACAAAACTGTCCCATCGCCACAAGGCTCCCTAGTGCTGCTCCTTTACAGAAACACCCCCATCCCTAACTGTTGGCAACCACTAATCTGTTCTCCGTCTCTATAATTTTGTTATTTCAAGAATGTCATATAAATCAAATCATACTGTATGCAACATTTCGAGATTGGCTTTCCCTTGAGACCCATCCAAGTTGCGAGAAACAGTATATTTTTCTAATTGCTGAGTTGTAGTTCATGGTACAGATGTACCTGAGGTTGTGTAACCATTCACCCATTGAAGGCACATTGGAATTGTTTCCAATTTGGGGCTATTGCGAATAAGGCTGCTATGAAGTTCTGCAACAAGAGAAGCCACTGCAAAGAGAAGCCCCCACTCGCCACAACTAGAGAAAGCCAGTGCGCACCAATGAAGACCCAATGCAGCCAAAAATAAATAAAATTAATTAAAAATAAATAAACTATGTTGTGTGCGTTAAAAAAAAAACAAACAAAAACACTTAAGTGCCTGGTAGGGCTTGGTGAGGCTTCACCGTAAGCTTGGTCCTGGCTGTTTTATCAAGGAGCACCAAAATGTCAGTAGCTACAGGATACTTTTCTTAGAACGGTCAGTTCTGCGGAGAAGAATTTTCTCCTGCCTCAGAGCATCATTGCCTGGCTGCTGGCAGTCTTCTGGAAGCTGATTGGAGCAGGAGGTGGGGAGGGGATATGGCTTAATTTTCCTGTACCAGAACGGCACCTTGCAGATTCTCTCTGGTGCACTGTCTGCAGGGAATGTACTTTGTGTTGGAGGGTAGGGTTGAGGATGCAAGGGTGGTGAGGAAGGTTCCTGGATGCTCCAGGTGGCAGAGGAGATCTGGGGACCCAGCTGGTCATTTTAAAAACTCACAACCAGCAGGCCCCCGTTTTTAGCCTCACCCTTCATCCCACCTTCAGAGGTTCCCGATGCTTCCAGCGCTCAAGTGCTCCCACAGTGGTGAGGCTTGACCTAGCTGTCTTCCCCGTGTCCCCTCCCCGATCCCCCCACCCGCTGTATTCACCTCTCCTTACTGCAAGCGCTTGGGTTCAACGTCTTATGGTCTGCTAACTTTTGTTTTTTTAAGCAGGTGGCCACCTGCTTTGCGGCCTCCAAGGTTTCACTGATATCTCTCATCTGCTGTTGTCTTCTTTCCCATTGTTCTGTCTTTTGTGGCTTTGTGTCTGTTTTATTCATTCACTCTCATTTTAGTGGAGTTTCGGGGGTAGGCATAAATTTGCTATGTTTAAGCAGAAGTTTATTAGTTCATTTTAACGTTAAAAAAATAAATTTATTTATTTATTTTTGGCTGCATTGGGTCTTCATTGCTGCACACGGGCTTTCTCTAGTTGCGGTGAGCGGGGGCTACTCTTCCTTGCGGTGCGTGGGCTTCTCATTGCAGTGGCTTCTCGTTGTAGAGCACGGGCTCTAGTTGCGCGAGCTTCAGTAGTTGTGGCACCTGGGCTCAATAGTTGTGACATGCAGGCTCAGTAGTTGTGGCTCCTGGGCTCTAGAGCACAGGCTCAGTAGCTGTGTTGCACAGGCCTAGTTGCTCTGCGGTATGTGGGATCTTCCTGGACCAGGGATCAAACCCACGTCCCCTGCATCGGCGGGCGGATTCTTAATCACTGTGCCACCAGGGAAGTCCCTATTAGTTAATTTTAAAACCGAGGGAAATGAGGGCAGAGAGGGACAGATTCTTTTTTTTTTTTAAAACCAAAACATTGGATTTATTTTCACAAATTTGAACCTGACATCTTCATTCATAACTAACAGCTGCCATAGATCCTGGCAGTCACAAAAATAAGTGAAAATGAAGAGAAGGTTGCAAATCAAGTGTTGAATACAGTACTTAACAATATGTTCAAATCCCATTATACTTTAAAATGCGCTTTGGGGGAATTCTTTGTGGACAAAGGCAGTGGTTTTCCTGATGTCATCCAGCTGCTGTGATTCTTGGTGGCCTCTGACCTCCCACGATTGTCATCAAAACCAGCCTTCTCCTGAAACTCTTAGTTCTCGTCTTTTTCTCTGCTCCAACTTTCGGATTCCCCCAGCTGCTGCTGCTGGTAGTTTAATCAGAGAGGGACAGATTCTTGCCCGAAGTCACATGGTGGGTGAACGACAGGGCTGGACAGGATTAATGACAAGTAACTCCCAATGTTCCCCTGGGTAAGATCAGAGCCCCGGGGAGGCCCCCAGAGATACCATGTTTTGGGAGGAGGATGTGTCTCAGGTAGAGCTGCAAATGATCAAGGACTCTGGAGTAACAGAGACATGGCTTCAGGCAGCCTCACGCAAAGCAAGACGCCTTGCTCGCTGAGCCACGGTTTCCTCATCTGTGAGATGCAGGAGTGGTGAGGATCAAATAAGAGGCTGCGCGTCCTATTCTTGGGGTGTGCCAGATGCCTAGCGTTAGAGGTGGCTCTTTCACCGAGGTGACAAAGACATGCACCTTTTCCAGGGCGGGAGCCAGTTCTTGGAGGAGACTCAGTACAGGACATGGATCGCTGCGGGGCCCTTTTCCTCTGCCTGTGCCTCTTGATGTCTCAGAGCAGAACAGAGGGTAAGAGGGCTCCGCTGAGCTGCAAGGGCCATCCTAGCCTGGACCCCTGGCTGTGATGTGAAGCGGGGAGGCCTCAAACCAAGGGAGATTGAAAAGGGGCACTTAGGCCTCCTGGGGCAGCAGGAGGCTGGGGCGGAAGGCCCAGAGGCCGTGGGGCAGGAGGCGGGGCAGCTGCAGACAGAGACTGAGGCGGATGTCTGACTCTCTCCTCACAGAGGCATCCCAAGAAATCCTGCGCTGGATGAAGAGAATGGAGACGGCAGCCAGGAGCCGGAGCCTCACTTCTTTTGCTGAGTGAGTTGGGTGTCCCTCCTCTCCCTCCCAGAGTCAGCTGTGCCTCCACCCCCAGCTTGCACCTTGAATCCATGGCCCAGGGTTGGTCCAGGGTAGACTGTTAATTCATTTATTCAACACTCATTTATTGAGTAGCTACTGTGTGCCCGGCACCAAGCTCTGGAGACGTGGGATAGACACATCCCTGTTCTCATTGAGTTTACTGTCTGGTTGGGGGCCCTTAACCATGGATGCCATGAAACCAGGCGCAGAATCACGGGTCTCCATGCATTTTTCTGGGAAGGGGCTCCAAGACTTGGGCTGGGCTCTCCAGAGTCTGTGACCCAAAAGCCTAGTAGCTCAGGGTAAGAGGCCAATGCTGATGACTGACCAGGGAATCAGGGCTGTGGAGCACTTCAGTCAGTGGGGAGCTGCCAGGGAAGGCTTCCTGGAGGAGGTGTCAACAAACTGGAACCCAAACAAGAGTTAATGGAAGGAGATGGGTGGGGTGGGGAGGTGAGAGTGTGCCAGGAACACTGTATGCAGAGGTCTAGAGGTGGGAGTGACGGGTGTGGGATGGGGGAGGCTGTGGAGAGTGCCACTCACCTCCATCCTTACCCCGGGCTCTGGCCATCTCTCTCACTTTCAGGCTCATCCATGGCCTAGAGTCAAGGCTACTCAATGCCAGCTTTGGGGGCCATAACCTCACTTTGCGGACGCATACCATCCAGACACTAGCCTTCAAGCTGGGCTGCAACTTCACTGGCCTCTCCCTGGGAAGTGCTGCTCTGCAGCAGGTCCCCCAGGTCAGAGGTGGCCAGGGATTGGGGGTGGCCAGAGCCTCTACCCCAGAAATCCTCCGGGGGTTTAAGGTCTGGACTTTCCCCAGGGTCCATCACCCACCTTCCCACCAATCAGGGCTCTGCCTTAATAGCTGTGAGTTGCCGCCTCTGTAAAATGGGGCTGACGTTCTTCATGTGAATGATGGAAAGGGGGTGCTTGTGGCCCCTCAGGGGCAGTGTCCTCTTCCTGCTTTTGCAGGTTCCTGGGGTGAGGCAGTCGTGGGAGAGGCCAGGGGAACGGGACACCTTTGAGGGCCCTGGTATGATTCCTGCTGAATACCTGGGTGCTGGGGGATCCATCCCCTCCATCTTCAGGGACCCAGCTGAGTGGAATAAATAACCCAAATTCAAGACCAGAACAGCCTGAAGGGAAGGCCTGAGATCGGGGGAAGTTTGGGTGGAGGTGCAGCCTGGCAGGAGAGGGTTCTGTGGGCGGAGGCTCCAAGGTAGGAGAGGCTCGGGGCAAGGCTGGGAGGGCTTCCTGGGGAGTGGGGAGCAGTGAAGGTGTTGTGGTGGGTCTGGAGGCTTCGGACACCAGGTGCAGCCTATCTCTGGCTCTCCACAGGCGCAGGTCCCACTCGCCATGCAGTTCCCAGCTGAGCTGACTCATGATGCCTGCAGGGTGCGCCCCAGGGAGCTGACTCTCATCTGCATCTACTTCTCCAACGCCCGCTTTTTTCAGGTCAGGGCCTGCTAGTAGGCCAAGCAGGGTGGATGTGGGCTCCTTCTTGGGGGGTCACTGCAGGCATGCATGCCACCTCCTGGCCTCTGGGCAGGGACCAGCCTACTGTGCAACTTCAGTCAATCAGTGCCCCTCTCTGGGCCTCTGTTTTAGCAAAATGGAAGGGAGGCATGATTATAATGTGCAAACGAGACCTAAGAAGTCTACTGTTTGTGTGCCTCTCCCTAGATGGGAGATAGACAAGTAGGTCACAAGATCTTTGTCCTCAGAGAGCTCTCTATCTCAACAGTTAGACCAGGACCTTAGAGACTTAATTTTAGCTTGAGGTTGATTATAACCATAGAGATTCAAAGGGATGGATGAGTCAGGGTGGGGTCAGGATGGTTCCCAATGAGCAGTCCTGGAGGGCTTCTGGAGGAGGTGCCTTTTAACCTTGGCTTTGAAAGTGAGTTAGGTAGGGTGACATGGAGGGTATGAGGCTGGAATTCATTTAACAAATGGGAGGTGATGGTGGTGGTAGTGAGAAGACAGGGTTCCAGGTGGAGGGGGCAGCATACGCAAAGGCTGTGAGGCTGGCACAGCTGTACAAGTGAAAGCCATGCTGCTTGTTCTCATCCAGGGAGGAGGGGCTGGAGAATGGGGGCTCTTGGACCTCATCCAGGGTCTCCTCATGTCCCCTCCAGTCAGTGCTTCTTCTGTTGCCCTTCCAGAAAGACATCAATTCATCTGTGCTCAATAACTATGTTCTGGGGGCCCAGCTGAGCCATGGACAAGTGAGCAACCTCCGTGAGCCGGTGAACATCAGCTTCTGGCACAACCAAAGCCTGGTATTGTTGGGGCCACCCCCACGTCCACCCCACCCCTACCCCCTTGTGGCTGTCCTGTCGAACACTGGTTTGATCAAACCCAGACTTGTGGAACTATCTTAGAAACAAGCTGCTTTAAATCTATCATACTTTGAAAATTCCTGCCAAAGAAATGAGAGAGAAGCTTTGACACACTGCATTCATCAGGATTCTTTGAATTGCACATGATAGAAAACCAACTCAAGCCAGCTTATTGGCTCATGTACATGAAATGTCCAGGGCTGTTCTAGCTTCAGGCACAGATATGATGCCGTAATGGCTCAGTCTCCATCTCTCAACAATGGTTTCCTGCCTTGGCTTTCCACTCTGTGGCAAGATGGCAGCTGAAGTGCTGGACCTCCTTCCCCTCTTCTCAGCAGGCTCTTTCTTGCCAGTGCAAACCAGGATCCCATAACGGATTCTAAAGGTCCAGCTGGGTCATGTGTCATCCATCCCTGACCCATCACTGTGCCCAGGGGGATGGAACATGTAGATTGGCCAGACCTGGGTCACATGGCCCAGGGACTGGGCTGGATTCATTTGACCCGTCATTGGGAGAGGGATGGGTCCCCAAGGAAACTACAGATATTGATGCCGAAAGAAGGAAGAAGGGCTGCTGGGTGGGCACAAGCCCTGATGGCATTCCCGAAAAGCCCCAGAGTCTGGCCATATCTTCTGTCAGCCTCATCAGGACCGCTCTGCACTCCCAATTTCTCCACTGTCCTTTCCTTTCATTCTTCTGGGCTTTTGCCCCTGTTACATCCTTGCTCCACTTCTGTTGAAATCTGATGTGTCCTCTAAGGCCTCAGTGCCCCAGCTGTCCCTTCCCTTCTCAGGACTCCTCTGCCTTTTCCTCCATGGTCTTCCATGGAGTGCCCGTTTCATTTCCCTCACCTTTCCACCCACAGGGCTTGGCGTCAGGGCTGTCTGTAGATGACTCTCTCTCTCCCCCACTGGGATGGGTCTGGACTGTCATTGTTCCCCATGGGGAGGAGGGGAAAGCGGACATTGATTATAGGCACCTACTGTATTGGCCAGAGCTGGGCACTCAAGATTTCTCATTGCCTTTGATCATTCCACCATCCTTGTGACTTGAGTATAAATGATCGCATTTTGCAGATGCATAAACTGAGACTCAGAGGACCTCTGTGACTTTCCCAGGTCACTCTCAGAGTCCGTTGGGGAGGTGGGGCTGGAATCTGGTCTGTCTGATGCCAAAGCCCAGCCCGTGCCTGGTAAAATGTTGACAAGGGTGCAGCTGAGTCACCTTCGGCCCCCATAATTACCAGACCCTCCCTGATCCATGGCCCTCCCCTCCACCCCCTGGATGCACCCAATTCCAGCATCTCCCCTTAGGAAGGCTACACGGTGACCTGTGTCTTCTGGAAGGAGGGAGCCAGCAAGCACCACTGGGGGGCCTGGAGCACTGAGGGCTGTCGCACAGAGCAGCCCTCACCCTCCCAGGTGCTCTGCCGCTGCAACCACCTCACCTACTTTGCTGTTCTCATGGTATGTGTGCATCTAGCCTGGGTGAGGGTGCTCAGAGCTGCAGAGGGCCCCCTATCCAGGACAGAGGAGAAAGGCAAAAGCTGGTGCAGGGGGCAGAAAATCCAACTCAAATGGGCTTAAGGAAAAAAAAAAAACCAGAACACCTTATGGGTTCATGTTCCCGAAAAGGCTGGGTTAGGCTTCAGGCATGTCTTGCTCTAGGGGCTCAATGTCACCAAGATAGGACTCTATCTCAGTCTCTCAATCGTTCTTGCTTTGTGTTAGCTTAGTTCTCAGACAGGATCTCCCCATGGGCTTATAATATGGCTGCTGGCATTTCCTGTTTTATGTCCTACTAGGTTCAGGTCAGTAGAACGAGAGCTCTCTCACCGAATTCTGCCAGCCAAAGCCATAGGATTGAGTCCCACAGGCCTAGAGTGTGTCCCATGCCCATCCCTTAACCAATCACTGTGGGCAGGAGGAGGGAAGGCTCTGATAGGCCAGGCCTGGTGCACCTGACTACACATAGTAGGAGAAGTGGAGTGTCCACCCACGTGCGGGAGTGAGGGAGGGGAGGAAGGGGAGATGGGAGTTGGGAGGCAGAAAAGCCGCTGTGTCTGCTGTGGCTGTTTTCAAGTCAGGACCACGGCTAGGATTGTAGGGTAGGGGGGCTTGAAGCTGAGGTCTTGGCAGGTGTCTTTGATTTAGGCAGTGGAGGGCATTTCCATGCTTCTGGCTCCCCTTCCCTCCCACAGCAACTCTCCCAGGCCCCGGTCCCTGCAGAGCTGCTGGCGCCCCTCACATACATCTCCCTGGTGGGCTGCAGCATCTCCATCGTGGCCTCGCTGCTCACTGTCCTGCTGCACCTCCTTGCCAGGTATTCCCCTGCCCTCGTGCTGGGCCAGCCCACCCACTGCTGCTCAGCACCCCTCCTTCTTTCCTACTTGGGCCCCCAGAGTCAGGTGGGCTTTTCCAGAGTGCAGAGGCTGGGAAGCAGGAGACCAGCCTCCTTGCGTGTGGCTGTTGTTGGGTCCCTGCCCCTCTCGACCTGTGTCCCGGTCATTACGTGTCTATGAGCCCAGGGGGTGGCGCTGCCTGGTGACGTCCGGTCACGGAGGGCCACGCCCCCACCCGCAGGAAGCCGAGTGATTCCATTACGTGCATCCACGTGAACCTGCACGCCTCGGTGCTGCTCCTCAATGTCGCCTTCCTGCTGAGCCCAGTGCCGGCCGTGCCCCCCGTGCCTGAGTCAGCATGCGTGGCACTGGCTGCCACCCTGCACTACGCGCTGCTCAGCTGCTTCACCTGGATGGCCATTGAAGGCTTCAACCTCTACCTCCTACTTGGGCGCGTCTACAACATCTACATCCGCCGATACGTGCTCAAGCTCTGTGCCCTGGGCTGGGGTAAGCACGGTCTCCCTCTCGCTTGCTTCCTGAGGCTTCCAGCCAGACTGGGCGTCTGTCCCCTCCTGTCCTCTTTCTCCTCCACTGCCATGACCACTGGTCACCACCCCTGCCAGCACCCACCGCCGCTTCCTACATGACTATTCTTATCACCACTTCCACCTCCAAAGCATCTATATCACCACCACTTCCAACACCACCGTCACCTCCACCATCCTCAGCCTTGTGTTCACCACCATCTCTGGTACCACGATCATCGGCATCTCTATCACCATCCTAGCCCCTGTCTTCATTATCTCTTTCCTCACCGGTTCCCAAACCCTCTCTCCCATTACCTTCCAGCCATCACCTCCCAGTGTGACCACTACTACTGCCGCTACTGTTCCACCCTACAGCCCTCATTCATATCAGCCTTCTCCAAGACCACCAGGCTAATTGCTCTGAGGCTGGACCAGGTGACAGCGGCTGGGGACTCAGAGCGATCTCTTTCCCTCCCCTCCCCCCACCCTCTGCTTGCCCGGTGGAATCCTGTTTTAGCAGCCCCAGGAACCCATGACCAGCCCATCTCTGGGGTCTCCTGACAGATACTGAGCCTCTGTCCCACCCCTCAGGGGTCCCGGCCTTCCTGGTACTGCTCCTTCTTGCCGTCAAGAGCTCAGTTTACGGACCCTACAGGATCCCGCTCTCCGACAGCCAGGGGAACAGCACGGGCTCCCAGAACATGTCCATGTGAGTGCGCTCACGGCTGCGGCAGGCTCCCTGGCTCTAGTCCTGGGGCTCTAGACAGGGTGCCTTGTAGGCGGGACACTGACTGCAGGGCAGGGAGGGGACTACTGCTTACACGGGGCGTGGTTTCCAGGGGTCTTTGCCACGCCCCTTCTGCTGGATCCCTAAGGTCTCCTGCAGGACGGGTTCACTCTCTATGCTAGTTCTAGGAAGCACATGGGCCTCCAAGGCCAGGCCGGGGCAGGGGGGCCTTTGCCCCTCCTGGCCGCTGGCGGCCAGTGCCCCTCTGGCTCTCAGGCTGTGCGGTGGAGCTCAGCCTGTGCCTGGCTCTTCTCTCTCCTCACCTCCGTGCTTCGCTCAGGCGCTTGGCTGTGGCCCCCCCTGACCTGTGCCTGGCATGGCACTGCCAGCCCTCCAACCCTCCTAGTCAGAGAAGAGAGTGTTGTGGGGATTGGGACACCACAGGCACCGTGCTCAGAGTGTATGTGGGGAGGGGGCGCAAGGCGGTTTGGGGGACAGACTCTGTCGCCCCTTCCCGTGCCCTCGGACATTAACCTCTTTCTTTTGATGAAATGTTTCTAACAGTCAACATAGAGGGAGTAGCTTAACAACCCCCTGCAGACCCATCACCAGCAGTTGGCCGTCTGGCCTTTTTCCCTCTCCTGGCTGACACCAGCTCAGGACGGCTGAGGGCTGGCTCTGAATCCTCACAGCAAGGAGCAGGCCCCATTGTCAGCCCTCGTTTACAGTTGGGGAAACTGAGGCACAGGCGGCTGAAGAACCCTGGCCAAGGAGACCCAGCCAGTTGAGGGCAGAGCTGGGACTTGGCTCTAGAGCCCGGCCCCCAACCACTGCCCATCCCAGTCTCTGGGAAGTGAGGGCTCTGGGCACGGAGTGAGGCTGAGATGGGGTTAATTCCTCTCTGTGAGGGTGGGGGTGTTTTCTCAGAGCAAGTGTGACTTAGGACTCTTTAAACGTGTGTTTTTATTGTATAACACGTGACATGGCAGAAGAACTGCAGTGATGCTTCCACAGAACAGGAAGCACGTTAATGCAGGGATGTTAGCGAGCTCCTGCCTGAAGAACCATCTCCTTCCCGGTCTTCCTCACCTCTCTCTCTCCCCTCTCACCCTGGACTTTGTGACTTTTATTCTCCTGCATTTAAAAAACCCTTACTACATATATATGTCTTTTTTAAAAATTCTTTTACATTTTTTGTTTTATTTTTTAAATTGAAGTATAATTGACATATAACACTTCATTAATCTCAGGTGTGCAACATAACGATTTGGTTGTATATATTGCCGAATGACCGCGACAATAAGTCTAGTTAACATCTGTCACCAGACATACAGAATTGATTTTTCTTGTGATGAGAACTTTTAAGATCTACTCTCTTCGCAACTTTCAATTATGCAATACAGTATTATTAACTGTAGTCACCATGCTGTACATGACATCCCCAGGACTTATTTATTTTACAACTGGAAGTTTGCAACTTTTGACCCCCTTTACCCGTTTTGCACCCTGTCCCCCCCTCCCTGGCCTCTGGCAACCACCAGTCTCTTTTCTGTAGCTATGAACTTGTTTTTTTGTTTGTTTGTTTTAGATTCCACAAGTAAGTGAGATAATACAGTATTTGTCTTTCTTTGACTTATTTCGCTTAGCATAATGATCTCAAGGTCCATCCATGCTGTCGCAAATGGCAAGATTTCCTTCTTTTTATGACTGAATAATATTCCATTGTGTTTATGTGTGTGTGCATGTATATAGCACATCTTCTTTAACAGCGATTTTTAAAAACCTTGAAAATAACTCCAGTGCCCACTGACAGGACACCGGACTAGTACATGCGATAGAGCCACCCCTGTCAGACAAATCATCTGGCAGTGAAAAGGAATGGTCCACCACCACACTCATCCACTTGGATGAACCCCCAAAATCATGTTCAAGGACTCTGTGACTGCAGTGAAAGGAGCCCGAGCAGGTGATCGTGACAGTTAGGGGCTCAGGCTCTGTGCTTAGATCGCAGGGCTTCAAGTCCCACCTTAGGCAGGTGGGCGTTTCTAAGCCTCATAGGGTCACCATGAGGATCGCATGGCTGATTCACGGAAATCACGTGACCTGGTGGGGTAAAAGGCAGCACCTGCCTTGAAGGTGTTTGGGGGAAGCAGAGGCCGTGAGGACCTCACGGAGGGTCTAGGACCAGGGCTGGGGCCACTGTCAGGGATCTCTCTGACCTTCCCTCTGCCCTCGGTGGAGTTTTCCTGCTGCTCCCCCGGCTCCTCAGTCCACACATGGAGAGCGCCCCTCCACCCAGCTGTGAGTTGCAGCAGCTCAGGGAAGGGCCGGTGGCCCAGTCCAGGTGGGGAGGGGCTCCTGGCACCGCTGCACGAAGATGGGGATGAGATGTTGATAATCGTGTGGTGGGTGGAAGGAGAAGTTTCCAGCAAAGAGGACCATGGACCAATGATGTAATCAATACCTTATAAGTTGACAGTTGGGCTGGGTGTGGAAGGGGGAAGGGTTAGATGTTCAAGGGAGGAGAGAGAGAGTTTTCAGGTGGGTAAGAGAGGGTAAAGGAGGCATGCAGAGGCTTCAGGCATGGGGCTGAGGTGGCAGGTGGGTCCTACCTGGTGGCCTGGCTGGAAAGCTGAGCCCAGGACTTCACCACGTGTGCAGTCAGGCAAGAAATGACGGGTCTGAGCCAGAAGACCGGACTGGGTTCAAGAGGCAGTCCAGAGGCCCAGGAGACCGTGGCTTCCCTGCCACCAGTCTTGGGAGCCACACCAACCCCAGCGCTTCGCCCCTCCCTTGCAGATGCTGGGTGCGGGACGCCTGGGTGCACGGTATCCTGGTCATGGGCTCTGGTGGCCTCACATCCCTTTTCAACCTGGTGGTGCTGGCCTGGGCGCTACGGGTCCTGCACAGACTGCGGGCGCAGGAGAAGGCGCTGGGTCCCCGGGCCTGCTGGGATACCGTCACCGTGCTGGGCCTCACCGTGCTGCTGGGCACCACCTGGATCTTGGCCTTCTTCTCCTTTGGTGTCTTCCTGCTGCCCCAGCTCTTCCTCTTCACCACCTTCAATTCGCTCTACGGTAGGGCCTGTGGTTGACGTGGAGGAAACCCCAGGGGGGTAGTGTACAGCTGCTACATGTTTACTCCTGAAGGGCTCCAGGTTGAGGGGGTGAGTCAGGGGCTGAAATCTGGGCCCTGACAAGCTGGTTTGGGGCTACGCCCGCCCATAGGAAGGGGCGCCACCTTGTAATTTGCACAAAGGCAGCCTATGGGCTAGCGGTGGCTGGTCCTCCAGCTCCTACGCCCGGTCCCTTCTGGCCTCCAACAGGAAGGGCTTCTGAGAATTACTGCTGGGCCTCAGGGAGGCCCCACTTACCCCAGCCAAGGAGGTGCCTGGATCTTGGAGGAGGCCCCACGCTGTTCCTGAGACGCTTCCACTAACCAGTCTTTTCCGTGCAGGTTTCTTCCTCTTCCTGTGGTTCTGCTCCCAGAGGCGCCACTCAGAGGCGGAGATGGAGGCATTCTGCTCCTCCCAGATGGTGCAGTAGTCTGGACTGTCTGGACCTCCTGGCCTGGAGCCCCCAGCTTCTCTGGCTGCCTGCAGCCGGAGGCCCTGGCTTCCACTCGAGAAGATGGCAGGCCAGCTGCTGGACACCAGAGGCCACTGTCACCTCCAGGGGGCCTTTTCCACCTCCATGCCTTCCCCAGGCCCAGAGGGCCGCGTGTTGCTCTCCGTCCCCAGGCATTCTGCTCTGGGGCAGGTCCAGCCCCACCTGGGGGCAGCAAACTTGCCCCTGGTGCCTGGGCCCAGCTGGCCAGGCCTATGGCCAGAGCACTGGCCTGGGAGTCAGGAGGCCACGTTTCAATGCCTTTCTTTGAGTTTCACTGTCTGACCTTGGGCCTGTCATTTCTCACTGACCCTTGGTTTCCACATCTGTGACATGGTGGCAGATGGCTCTGGTCCTGCCTAATCCCAGAGCTTTATGCAGATTCAATGGCACCAGGGAGGACGAGGTCATAGTGGGGTGGGGATCCCCACCCCGGCCTGGGCCTGCCCTTGAAACACCTGCTGGGCCCTGCTTCCTTCCTCCGGGAGAGGGTCAGCCTTGGCCGGGGGTCCCCAGCCCAGCGCTTAGAGACCCACCCAGTGTGTGAGACCTCACCAGCCTGTAACTGAGGCCTCTTTTCCTTTAACCCCCAAATTATGATGACTCTAACTCCAAGTCCACCCTTCCCAAAGATCAGGAAGTCCAGTCCTTTCCAGAGGCTCCTCTTCCAGCGTTCCCCAGACCCCCATAGGCCATTAAGACCAGCAGCTGGGGCCACAGGGCTTCCTGGAGGTGGGAGGGGAGCACCTCTTTCCCCTCCATCTGAGTTCCAGTGATCCGGCTATTTGATGACTGGGCAGGATTGAATTTCACCTGGTAGGCGTGAGGGTGTGGGTTCTAAATCCCAAGCTTGTCTGTCTGTTCTCTTGGAGTTGGTGGGGACCTGAAGTATTTATAAATTGGTATAAATTATACAAGTCTTTTGTCAGGCTTCCCATTTCAGTTTCCTTCCTGTTTGTTCTGTTAGCTGTCGCAGTCACAGAAAATCACCATTGCCCTTGCCCTGTCCTGTCAGGCCAAGTGGGAGACCACTCACGAAGCGAGCGCCTTTCCCAAGCTTCACACCAGGGGGCCCTGTTGGCCAATGTCAGAAGCCACTGGGTCCAAAACCATGTCTGGTGATGCTGTGGTCGCCTGTCTGTGGATATGACACACCAGATGGAGAGGCTCTGCCTCCAGGACTGCACCTGCTGGGCAACCAGCAGGAGGAATGCTAGCACTGCCTACACAGCCATTTCTCTCTTTCCCAACGCAGCCACCCGCTCTGGCTCTTGGGGTCTCATGCTCTGGGCATACGTGGCACTAGAGCGCTGGGCTGGGATAGGCTCTCAGGGCCCCGCTCCAGGCCATCAGATAGATTGCGATGACTTTGAACGTCACTGGGAGGGAGCTGGAGCCGGATCCCTTTTCTCCCAGGGGGACCCTCTGCCCTCTGTTCATTTCTTGATATGAATAGCCCTTCACTAATTGGTGAGTGGCGCAGGCTCCGCATACTGCCTGGGCTCAAGGGCCCGCTCTGTCACTTGTCAGCTGTGTGACTGTGGACAAGCCACTCCACCTCTCTGTGCCTGAGTTTTCCCATCTGGAAAATGGGGCAATAGTAGTACCTATTTTGAAGGGTAAATAAAATAACCCATATAAAGAGGTGTAGCAGAGGGTAAGTGCTCAGTAAAGGGTTATCGTTATCATTCGTATTTTGTTATTATTATTACAGTGTCAACTGAGTCTCAGAGGCCGACCCTCTAAGGTCCAGTCTGCTCGGCCTCACAGGCCCAGCTCCTCGCTCAGCATATCCCGCTGTCCTTCGGCTGCGCTACCTCCTCTCCCACGTTCCCCAGAGCTGCCTTTGGTCCAGCCTTGCTGGCCTTTTGTTATTTTAGGGACATTTCTCACACGGTACAGGCTCCAGGCCATTGCCACCTGTCCCCCTACCCCTCGGTTCCCAAATCCTTTGATCTATCTAAATTCTCAGGGGCTCAGTTATCATGCCTCCCATGAAATCTCTCCAGTTTTCCCACAGAGGAGGTCTCTCTCCCACTCCTACTCCAGCAGAGTGTCCCCCTGCCTCTCTCAGGGTGATGTGAGCCCCCATTCGAGCTCCCCTAGTTTGGCCAGCCCTAGCTTGTACTAGGCTCCCCAGGCCTTGGGGTGGGCCCCCGTCCCAATGCGGGTGCCTAGGATCACGGGCACGTCCGGCCTCTCTCTTGGGCAGCTCCGGGGAGCGGTCCGCAGCCCACTGAAGCAGGGCCTTGCCTAGGACCCAGCCCAGCCCAGACCTGGCCTTTTAGATCCTACCAAGCCTAGGGCTGCCCAAGGGAGGATGTGGCCACAGTGACACAGAATGGTTCTGGTAATTCTAGGAAACGGCCCCAGCTCTGTGGCCCTGAGCCTGGTTGGGGGTTCAGGCGCTGGGCAGGGACCACTTCCCGGAAACGCCCTAACCGGGTGGGGGGCAGGGCTGAGGGAGCCGTTGATGGGCCTCAGTGCCCTCCCCTCACTCCCAGTGGGGTCCTGGCCTTGCCCAGACTGGGCACCGGGCCCATCTGTCAGGGGCTTCCAGACTTAGTGGGAAGATGGAGCTGGAGGCCCCTAGGGCTCACTGCTCAGGGCCAGAGTCTCCGATGAGGCCCGGGGTGAAGGAGGACAAGTCGAAGCCAGAAAGGCCACAGACTAGCAGTTTCTATGTTGCTTTGTTGCTGTTTTTTTTCAGAAAGACAATGTGTGTATGGCGGGAGGAGGGTTGAATGAGGGTTGCCCGATAAAATACAGGATGCCCAATTTGAGGGACAGATACAAAAAAATGTTCACTGTTTATCTGAAATTCAAATTTTATCCTGTAGATCTCCATCTATTTATTTTTTTCTTTTCTTTATTTCTTTTGCTAAGCCTGGCAACACTCTTAGAAAGGAGCATTGGCTCTGGAGTCCGAGGTGTCCACTCTTTACCCTTCAAATCGATCCACCCTGTGCTGACTGGGGACCCCTCTGCCCACTGAATGAGCCGTGCACTCAACTCGAGCCTCCTCCTCCAGGATGCTAAAGGGCTCTGCCTTGTGGTGCCCCGCCCATCAACCATGGTGCAGACCAGCCTCCATCCGCCACAGAGCCTCTTCACAGGCCTCCCTGCCTCCCCACTCCCAGTCTGAGCTTGACTCAGAAGCCAGAGGGAATTTTTTCGTCCTGTAACCTGACCATGTCCCTCTCTGCTGAAACCCTCCTTGTAGTCAAATTCCCCTCCGGAGCTCGAAGACCCTGGGGTTCTGACCTGTGCTCACTTCTCCCACCTGCCTCCCACCATTCCTTCCTCATCCTCCTGGCTTCTGCCACCCTGAACTATTAATACTTCAAGTTCCCTGAACAGGTCCTGTCTCACCTCCAGGCCTTGGCACAAGCTGTCTGGAGCACTGTCCGTCAGGTCTTTCATTTGCAGAAAGATGGCAACACACCCTTACGATCTCAGCTTTGCAGCCTCTCCTGATCTCCATGTGTCTGGACCAGGAAGCTGCCCCTGACCTGTAAAATCTAGGATGGGGCCTTCTCTCGCCTCCATAGCCTTTGCCCTTCCCCCATGACAATAGTTATTTCTCTCTCTTATGAATATCTGTATCATTTCAAAAGTGAATTATCATCTGCAAATTTACTTCGACAAATCTTTTAAAAATTGGTAGACTAGGGAGACAAAGCCACCAGCAGCATGGGATATTTCAAATGCTTCTCTTAATTATTGATGGCAAAGCTGAACAAATTAGCCAAGATATGGAAGATTTGAACAACATAAGCAACAGACTTGATATAATGGACATTAATTGAATTTTGTCTCCCACGATCAGATTCTCCTTAAGCACTTATGGACTATTTTCAAAACTTGATAGTATACTAGATTAGAAAGCAACCTCCAAAAAAGTTTCAAAGAATTGCTATTAGAGCACATTCTTTGACCTCAGTGCAGTGGAGTTAGTAAGCACAAGCACAACTTTAATACTGTTTGAAGAAAATATAGGTTAATATCTTTCTGACTTCAGGGTGGGGAAACAACTCTTAAAGAAAACACCAAAAAGGTGTTAACCATGATGAAAAGATGCAACTGACCACATTAAAGATAATTTCTGTGTGAGATAGAGTCACAGATGTAGAAAACAAACATATGGTTACCCAGGGGGAAAGGGGGGGAGGGATAAATTGGGAGATTGGGATTGACATATGCACACTACTATATATAAAATAAGTAACTACTAAGGACCGACTGTATAGCACAGCAAACTCTTCTCAATACTCTGTAATGACCTATATGGGGAAAAAAAAAATCTAAAAAATAGTGGGTACATGTATATGTATAATTGATTCACTTTCCTATACATCAGAAACTAACACAACATTTTAAATCAACTATACTCCAATAAAATTTTTAAAAAATTAAAAATAATTTCTGTTTCCCAAAAGACACCTGAAAATAAGTGAAAAGACGAGCCATATCTGGGAAAAGATGTAAGCACAGAGCTGGTATCAAGATCCCCTATGGATCAGTAAGAAAAGATAAACAACTTAAGAGAAAAATGAGCAAAAACCATGACCTGGCATTCCACAAAAGATGAAATGGCCAGAAAACATGATGGGATCTTAAGTTCACTAGCGATCAGGGACATGGAAAGGAAGACCACAATGAGACGTTATTTTTTACCCAGTTGGCTGGTAAAAAGTGCGACATCTGACACTGTTAAATGTTGGCTGGGATGTGGATCAGCAGGAACTCTCAAAATTGCTGTCAGGACTGTAAAGTGATTCAAGCCTCGTGGAAAAACAGTTTGGCATTCCTCTGTAAAGATAACAGTGACACACCCGTGTCCCAGCCATTCCACTCCCAGGATTCTATCTGAGAGGAAGCCCTACAGGTGTATCTAGTTACACATCTGAAAGTGTTCGTAAGAGCACTGCTGGCAATCGCAGAAATGCTGCAACAACGTGGTGAATCTAAGACACGTGGTGCTGAGTTGAAAAACTCAAATCCCAGAGACTATACATGGTTTGATACTCTTTAGTTTGAAACCCAGCACAAGCAAATGATATCTAAGCATGTATACTCTACTAAGCTCTACAGACAGAGTGAGTGAGTGACAGCCACAAAGTTCAGGACGCCTCTGGGGAGGGAGAGGGGAGGAGGGGGAAGGGTAGCGGAGGCTCCAGAATTTGGATTTTATTGGAAGGCAAAGGGGAGCTGGTTTCTGAGAAGAGTGATGTGATTCCAACTTTTTTTTAAATTTGAAATTAAGTTTATTCGTGCATTAAACAGTTACAGAATACCCATGGGACATTTTTAGTCCAACAATTAAAATTGCATTTAAAAGCCAACTGGAAGAGTTTACAGACCAAAAAGACATCTGGAGTAACTACTGTTCCCCTTTCCTTGAGTTTATATATATTTATCTTTTAGGCAAGAGAGAGAACTGTGATTACTTCGTATTCCAGGGGATGTGATTTCCAGTTCCATTGTCTTAATGTGTATAAGATTCTTCTGTGAAGGCCAGAGAAGTTCAAAGAATTTGATGTTGATTGGAAGAATTAAGAAGACAAGACTAATGGTTGGTTCATGGACCCACAATTTTACCACAAATCACTAGAGGGGGTGGTGGGAGGGGTATTATGTTTCCCATCAATAAAACCTCAGGTATGTATTTTATTTTTGGCTGTGCCGCGTGGCTGGCAGGATCTTAGTTCCCCGACCAGGGACTGAACCAGTGCCCCCTGCGGTGGAAGCATGGAGTCCTAAGCACTGAACCGCCAGGGAAGTCCCCTGAGGTATTTAAAGACTCCATAGATGTGGAGGGAATTCCCTGGCGGTCCAGTGGTGAGTACCCCAAGCTCTCACTGCCAAAGGCCCTGGTTCGATCCCTGGTAGGGGAAATAAGATCCCACAAGTTGCGCAGTGCAGGCAAAAAAAAAAAAAAAAGAAGACTCCATAGACATGGAAACTCACCTCTACGTCTCTCACAGGTCATGGCGAGGCTGAGAAGGCTGCGGCGGGAGCTCATACCTACTTGGACTTCTCACATACGTTGGTGCCCAAACCTAACCAGGACTGGACCGTGTCAAACACTTCTCTGAACAAAGTGGTTCATCAGTTTTCTCTTCAGGGTGCATTCCAAGGCAACAGTGTGATCCATGATGAATTTTTCCTGGTCTGTTTTTGGCTTGTCTCGGTGCTAAAGTCTATGGCAATACAAAACAGCATGATCATTTACTGTGAGACCTGCCCGAGTCAAGGAATGGGCTCTCTTAAGTCTCAGCAGTCAGGGTTTAACCTAGCTCGTTTTTCTTGGCTATTCTCATCATCCAGATGACAGGAAACTCCTGTGGGGGCATCTCTTTTATTCTCCTCCATGGGTTCCAAAGGGCAGTCTTGACCTATGGCCAGCACCTGTCCGACAGTCATGTCAGCACGAGCAGCTTTCAAGTAGCTGGCACACACCTGCCAGTCCTCCACAGAACAGGGCTCCACCACTGAGTCTCTGGGGAGGTCAGCTGGGAGAGGTGTCTCTAGGCAGGAAGGAAGGCTCTCCCCTTCTGGACTGGGAAGGACCCTCGGGACTGCATGGTTCAACAGGCGGCTGAGACCTGACATTACCATGATGTCACCGCTGTGCATAAACATGGGGATGGGGCCATGTTTATGCACAGGGGAAAGGCCACCCAGGGGAAAGATGGCAGACTGTCCAAAGCTGAACGACAGCAGGGGTTTGGAGTGCTCTAGTTCAGATTTACCTACATGGATTCCCAGCGTGGAGTCTCATCGGTAGTAATTCAGGATACCAGCTTCAGCTCGGAAACCCTGAAATCCACAGACGGTGTCCACTTACCCTGAGAGGAAAGTCAGGTCAGCAGGGGAAGGTGTGTAGTGATCTGCAGAATATTTCTTACTGTCCCAGTTACAATGGTAGCCTAGGGTCACCCAGTGCAATTTCTCTAATAAACTTCAGGGTCTCCATTTATTCACTTCTTTATACCTTAGAAGCTCTTTGCTCTGTTCCCACAAATCTTGGGTCTCTTCTTAGTCACATGTGTGTCCAGGTTACATACATTGGGTTTCCGGGAATATGACTTAAGGCACTGCTTCACCTAATGCCGCTGGTGACCTGGGAGGAAGGGTTTGGATAAAAATAAATCCGGGGTAGGCTTGCAGTCTGTAGGCTCACCACTTGCTGGCCAGCTGAAGTCCTGCTCTGTATGCATCGTGGTCACTGGCTGGGGACACATTTAGCTGAGATTTGACTACCCTGGGGGCACCAGGCCCCATGCCTTGGGCTGCTTGGGCCGCCAAGAAGTCAGTGACCCCTCCCAGGTCTGCGGTGCTGGGGCGGCTCTGCCGGCAGAAGCGGAAAAGCTTCGGAAAGGCGTCCTCCCCAGGCTCCGCTACCAGCATCGCCACAGCGCCCACGGCCACTGCCACCTTCCCCATCTTGCTGCCTGGCCTCGTCTCCATCCTGTTGTTGAAAAACAATGAAAGTAAGTGTGGAATTGCTACACCTGTGAGTTTTCAGCCTTTTCCTTCTCTGAGCCCCATTTTTTCCCTAATAATGGTAAGAGGGAACCCTTACTATGTACCCAATGCTCCCTACATATATTAGCTCACTTAATTTTCACAACAACTCTGTGAGGTAAGTTTGATTATTATCATGCTTGTTACACCCATGAGTCAACTGAAGCACAGAAAGGTTAAGTGACTTGCCCAAGGTCACACAGCTACTCGGTGCCGGAGGTGGGATTCAAATCAGCCTCTGCTTCCTTATCAGAACAGTAGAGGGATGGGAACAACCCCACTGGATGATGAGTCCTCTAGAGGCAGGCGCTGTGTGTGTGTGTGTGTGTGTGTGTGTCTGTGTGCCCTTGGGGAGCCACCCGGGAGTAGGGGCTGTGTGTGTGTGTGTGTGTCTGTGTGCCCTTGGGGGCCCAGCCGGGATGCTCAGGAAGTCAGCCATGATTATTGTCCTAGCAGGGTTTGGCAGGGAGGCAGGGAGCCAGCATGGGAGGGAATCAGAGACAGTCTGGGTTCGAATCCTGGCTCTGCCACTCACTCATCGCAGACCTTGGCAGTCCTCTTGAGGCCTCTCTGAGACTTAGTTTTCTCATCTATAAAATGGGGGCCGTCCTAGTTGCTATTTCCAGGGCTGCTGTGAGGGATCAGGGAGAGAAAGGTGTGAGTGGCCTGTTCCACCGCCCAGCGTGATGAGCAGTGCTTAAATGTGGGCTGTTATTAGTCACCTGTTCACGGATGTCCTCAGCAGCTCTCTCTAGGTGATTTCTAACAGGACTTGGTCAGGAGTAGGCCCTTCAGAGTGTGAACACCGGGTCCAGCGCCTCTCACACCACTGGTGATGTGAGCTGTGCCTAAGAACATTCACATGGGAGCCTCAGCCTGAGGGCCAGAAGGTCAGCAGCTGGGGTCAGGGTGAAGGTGGGCTCCTCAGCTGGCTGGGCACCGCCAGGACCGCAAGTCTGGTGCTGGGGTTGTCATTCCTATGGTGACCACCAGGGGTCATGCTTGGCCACTTCTGCCTTCTTCCCTGGTCCCAGAGCCCATGGGCAACCTGCAGAGGGCAGCGAGGACTCCCACATTCCTGCCAATTGCGAGGTGGGGCATTTCCAGCAAGAGTGCATCTGAGGCCCTGACTTGGCTTTCCCACCTCTGTTAAATAACAAAACTGGTAAGTTTTTCCATCCCTCTGTGGGAATGTCTGCTGGTCTTTTATCTACCCATCCATTTATCTCTTTGTTCATCCACTCATCTGTTCATCCATTCATCCTTCTGTCTGTCCATCCATTCATTATTCCTCTATTTTCCATTTGTTCATGTATCCATTCATCTGTCCTTTTATCCAGTCATCCATCCATCCAACATCCAACATCTGTCCATCTACCCTCTGTCTATCCCACATGCACAAAGACCCCATGTTGAGCCAGGATTGCTCAGCCTGAGGTTCCCCATGAAGGGAGGAGGCCCATTTGCTGCTCCCACCACCCCTCTCCCCCATCTCCTCCAGGCTCACCATCTGGTGGGATCAGGGATGTACCAGGCAATGATAACATAAGATGATGTGTGTGGACAAAATTGGGGGTGCAAAAATGTCACATTTCATTATTAATTTTTATAGCACATTAGTCAGGAAGACATATTTCTATATCATTGCTCAGAAGTTTTGTAGCTTTTCACCATTAGGTGTTTAATTTACCTGCAATTGGTTTTCGTGACTGGTACGTAGTAGGATTGAATTTTTTTTTTTTTCCCGTATGGATACCCAACCATCCGAGCACCATTAATTAAAAGTCAAGTCTCTCCTCAAGTCTCAGAAATGCCACCTCTGTTGTAAATCAGGCAGCCACGTATGTATGGGACCATTGGTGAGTGTGTCAGTTTATTTCTGATGTCCCAATTAAGTTTTAGAATTTTATCTGAATTTTGTACATTTCTGGGTAGATTTACTTCTAGGTACTTGATATATTTTGAAGTGTTGTAGATGGTGGTTATATTAGTTACTTATTGACATGTAACAAATTATCCCCAAACTCAGCATCAAAACCCCAAACATTTATTATCTCCAGTTTTTGTGAGTAGGAACCTAGCTGGTGGCTCTGGCTTAAGGTCTTTTATGAGGCTGCAGTCAAGCTGATGGCTAGGGCTGTGGCTTTATCTGAAGGCTTTGATTCCCACAGTGAGAAGCTGGAAGAAGGACCTCGGTTGTTGTCTTCTTTGAAGAAAGAATTCAGCAAAGAGACCAAGGCTGTTAAAAAGATAAAAGCATTTATTAGAAGCAAAGTACGTGTGGAAGAAGCAAAGTATTTGTGGAAAAAACAAAATATGTGTAAAAGAGCCCACAGGTGAGTCAGATTGAGTTTCACCCAGTAGGGGCAGCTTAGATTGCTTATATAGGGGCAGTTTTCCTTTTTTTTTTTTTCCTGGCCAGTCATCTCCATATTTGGTCCTGGTGTGGGTGTGAATCTCTCAGCCAAGATGGATTCCAGCTGGCGTATCCTCTCTCCTTTTGTCCTTCCCGTAGACTGAGGGTCTTCTCTGTGCCTGTGTTGGGCAGGGAAATCCACAAGAATGCACCCAATCAGGGCCCAATTCTCCCACTGGTATCCCATCTCAAAGAGTCAGCAGGAGACCAGCTGCAGCTGCTCAGCCTGGGGCCAATCAGTCTCCTACCTCAGCTTGATTTGTAGGTCTGCCTCATGTCATGGCAACTGGCTTTCCTGGGAAGAAGTGATTTGAGAGAGAGAGAGCACACCCAAGAATGTAAGCCACAGTCTTTTAATAACCTAACATCAGAAGTGACATCTCATGATTTCTGCCATATTCTATTCTTTTTTTAATTTTATTTTTATTTATTTTTGGCTGCTTTTGGGTCTTCGTTGCTGCACGCGGGCTTTTCTCTGGTTGCGACGAGCAGGGGCTACTCTTCGTTGTAGTGTGCAGGCTTCTCATTGCGGTGGCTTCTCTTGTTGTGGAGCACGGGCTCTAGGCACACGGGCTTCATTAGTTGTGGCTCGTGGGCCCTAGAGCGCAGGCTCAGTAGTTGTGGCACACAGGCTTAGTTGTTCTGCAGCATGTGGGATCTTCCGGGACCAGGGCTCGAACCCGTGTCTCCTGCATTGGCAGGCGGATTCTTATCCACTGCACCACCAGGGAAGCCCCATATTCTGGTCGTTAGAAGTAAGTTACTAAGTGCGGCCCACATAAGGGGAGGGGATTACATAAAGGCGTGACTACCAGGAAGCTGGGATCATTTGGGGCCATCATATAGTGAATAGAGCCTGTTACAGTGACCTTTTAAAAAGTTTATTTTCTAATAGTGGTTACTATATAGTATTGCATAGTGATGTGGGGTTATTTTTGCTTTTTTAAGGCAGAGGTTTTTTTTCTAGCTTTTTGTTTGTTTGTTTGTTTTCTGGCTGCACCCTGCGGCTTACTGGATCTTAGGTCCCCGACTAGGGATTGAACCCACACCTTTGGCAGTGAATCCTAACCACTGGACCACCAGGGAATTCCCCGTAATGATGTCTTAACATTGATTTTTTGTATCTGGCAACCTTGCTAAACTCTCTTATTAATTCTAATAGTTTGTCAATTTTTAAAAATGTACTCATTATAGCATCTATGAATAATGAAGTTTGTTTTTTTCTATCCAATCCTTGTCTGTTTTATTTCTCTTCCTTTTCTTACTGCATAGGCTAGGTCTTACAGAACAATACAGAACTGGTATAGTAACAGCAGGCTTTCTTATCTTGCTACCAATTTCAAAGGGAAAGTTTTTGACAGTTTCACCTTAAAGTATAATATTTGCTGTAGGGTTTTTTAAAAAAGTGTATACCCTTTATCAGATTTAGGAAGTTCCTTATATTTCTAGTTTACTAAGGTTTTTTTTTTTTTTAAAACCATGAATGGATATTGAATTTTGTCAAACATCTCTTTTGCATACAATGATCATTAGAATTTTCACCTTTGATCTATTAATGTTTGAACTACATTAATTTTTCTTCTAACGTTAAATCTACATTGCATTGGTTAAACCTAAGTCGATCATAACATTATCCTTTTATATGTTTCTGGGTATAGTTTGTAATATCTTGTTTAGAATTTTGCCTCTGTGTTCTTGAGAGAGAGTAACCTGTAATTTTTCTTTCTCATATGCCTTGTTGGGTTTTGATGTCAAGATTATGCTAGCCTCATAAAATGAGTTTGAGTCTTCATTAAGAGTTTGGGCCAATTTAGAATTATTATGTCTTTCCAGAATTTTCTGTAGTATTTTCCAGTGACGCTCTCTGGTGATGGGTTTTCTTTGTGGGAAGATTTTTGACTACAGATAGAAGTTACTTAGTGTACAGGACTGTTCAGGATTTTTTTTTTTTTTTTTTGCGGTACAGGGGCCGCTCACTGCTGTGGCCTCTCCTGTTGTGGAGCACAGGCTCCGGACACGCAGGCCCAGAGGCCATGGCTCACAGGCCCCGCCGCTTCGCGGCATGTGGGATCTTCCCGGACCAGGGCACGAACCCGTGTTCCCTACATCGGCAGGCGGACTCTCAACCACTGCGCCAACAGGGAAGCCCCTGTTCAGGATTTTTATTTCCATTTAGAATGCTTACTGCAGCTTAAGTAAGCAATGTTTTTCTAGGAATTTTATAATATTTAATTATATTAATATTTAGATTTATTGGCATAAAATTGTTCACAATATTCTGTTTTATATGATTACTGTTATAACATAATGTTTCTCTTTTCCAACCTGACATAGGTTATTTGTGCCTTTTTCTTTTACCTTCATAGTTTGCCAGAGGTTTGTCAATTTTGTTAGTCTTTCACATAGTCAATTTTGATTTTTGTTGATTTTCTTAATTGTAAGTGTGCTTACTACTTCACTAACTTGTGCTTTTATCTTTATTATTTTTCTGCTATATACTTTTAATTTGCTACTCTTTTTCTAACTCCTTGAGGTAGATGCTTACCTAACTAATTTTAAGCCTTTATTCAGTTCTAGTATATGCTATATATTTCCTTATAAGTATTACTTTAGAAAAATTTCCTACGATTTTGAATATATATTTTCATTACTGTTCAGTTTTAGAAATAGTTTAAGTTTTTAATTGTGGTTCCTTCTTTGTTATAAAAAGTGTGTCTTTAAATTTTCTGAATATGTGGGAATTTCCTTTTATATTGATTTCAAGCTTAATTACATTGTGGTCAGAGAAACATTATCTGAATGATTTAAATCCCTTGACATTTATTGAGATTTGCTTTATGGCCCAGAATATGAGCTATATTTATAAATGTTCTGGATGGGCTTGAAATGGGTTTTTTACATTTGTTGTGTGCAGTGTTCTATGTATGTTCAAGTCTAATTTATTAACCGAGTTCATCAAATCTTCATCTCCCTTCCCTTATCAAATTGAAAAAGTTGTCTGAAAATTTATTATGGCTGTTGATTTGTCTATTTTTCTGTGTAGTTCTATCAAGTTTTGCTGTATATATTTTGAGCTTATGTTATTAGGTACATAGAAATTTAATATTGTTACGTCCTCCTAGTGAAATTAAGTTTTATTATTATCTTTCCCTCTAGTAATGCATTTTGCCTTAACGTCTACTTTGTCTTTTTTCTTAAAATTAATTAATTAATTTTTGGCTGCATTGGGTTTTCGTTGCTCCGTGTGGGCTTTCTCTAGTTGTGACAAACAGGGGCTACTCTTCGCTGCGGTGTGCGGGCTTCTCATTGCAGTGGCTTCTCTTGTTGAGAAGCATGGGCTCTAGGTGCGTGGGCTTCAGTAGTTGTGGCTCGTGGGCTCTAGAGTACAGGCTCAGTAGTTGTGGTGCATGGGCTTAGTTGCTTCACGGCATGTGGGATCTTCCTGGACCAGCGCTATGAACCCATGTCCCCTGCATTAGTAGGTGGATTCATAACCACTGTGCCACCAGGGAACCCCTACTTTGTCTTTTTATGAATATAGTTATAACAATTTTTTTAAAACTAGTATTTTTATTTTATTACCTTAAACTTTTCTCTAGTCTTATGTTTTAGAGGTGTTTGTTCATTTTTTATTTTATTTTTTAAAAATATTTATTTATTTATTTTTTTGGCTGTGCCGGGCCTTAGTTGCTGCATATGGGATCGTCATTGCAGCATGTGGGATCTTTAGTTGTGGCATGCGGGGTCTTTAGTTGTGGCATGTGGGATCTAGTTCCCTGAGCAGGGATGGAACCCAGGCCCCCTGCATTAGGAGTGCAGAGTCTTTTTTTTTTTTTTTTAAGATTTTTTTGATGTGGACCATTTTTAAAGTCTTTACTGAATTTGTTACAATGTTGCTTCTTTTTTTAGTGTTTTGGGTTTTTGGCCACGAGGCATGTGGGATCTTAGCTCCCCAACCAGGATTGAACCCACACCCCCTGCACAGGAAGGAGAAGTCTTAACCACTGGACCTCCAGGGAAGTCCCTGTTCATTCTTAAACAAAATAAATTACCCCCATCCAGTCTGAAAATTTTGCTTTTTAACTGGAGCATTTATAATTAATGTATATGTACAGGTAAATGTAAATGTAAGGTACACCTACTGTAAATATTTGGAATTAAATCTACCATCTTATTTTGTGCTACTTATCTTATTCATCCTATTTTTTTCTTTTCTTTCTGGCTTTAAAGAGTTGTCTGTATATGTTTTATCATTTAACTCATATCATTTACTTCCTTAATAAGTTTGAAATGATATACTCTGTTTCTATTCCTTTGGTGCAGGAGCTGGCAACGTTTTTCTATAAAAAGCCAGATGCTAAATATTTTAGGCTTTGCCTGCCACAGTCTGTCACACATTCTTCTTTGTTTGGATTATTATAACCCTTTTCATATGTAGAAACCATTCTTAGTTTGCAGGCCATACAAAAATAGGTTGCAAGCTGGGTCTGACCCATGGGCCAGTGTCCTGACCCTTTTTTTCAGTGTTTACCCTAGAAATTGTAACATGCACACTTAATTTATTAAAGCCTCAAATTTATCAAACCTTTGCCCTTCCCCTGAATACCACATTGATATTAGAATATTTGGATTCTATTTACTTCCCACTCCCAATTTATGTTAGATTGTCTGATATTTTCATTTTATTTTAAATTCCACTAGACTTTATGATTACTGTTCTATACAGTCATTATTTTATACATTTGTCCATATTTTTTTTACCACTTTCTCTAGTCCCTATTCTTTTTTGTATCCTCAACCCTCCATCCAGATAATTTTCCTTC